CACATCTGGCTTAGATGGGCCTGCCTGGCATTTAGTCAATGGAAAATCTGACACTAAAAATCCACAAACTGGTAATTTTGCAATCTGGTTATGCTGCTTTTAATTTGAAGCTTTCAGTTGTGTGTTTTGATGCAATTAGCTCAAGGACTTCGCAATGCATCACAATCGTACCAGTGCATTATTCGTATTGTAAAGGACAATTTGGAATGCAGTGTTTGTTGGTTGATATTTACAGCATGAATACACACTTTGCATACCTGCTGAATGGAATCACCATGCAGTAGAAACCCACACAGATGAAAGCCAAATGATTTCAGTCTTTCTTCCTTATATGGCACATCTCTTACTCCTAAAAATGTATTTACTCAAGTCGAAAGTAGCCCTGTTACAATATTGCATGATAAATTAATTGCAATAATTTCCTTTTGCATGAAACACAATTTCCATTTTATGCAAAAATCTGTTAATCTAATTGAAAGTCTTCAGTCTGGTGGGGCAGCTGGTCTCAACAAGTTCCTTTTCTGAAGGACAATTTGTTTACAGAGACTTCATCATTTGTTTTATTTGTAGTTTCTCTTATTTATTTATTTTTTATTTATTTTGGATATTTAAAATGTCTTCCAGTTCCAAAACTAAATGTTCATTAGAATGTAACATTTATTAATCTTTGAGAATCTTCTTGTGTTATTATACCACTACCATTATATTATTTGAAAATTGTCTCAAAACAACATTATAGTTTATCACAATAATTCTGGGACAATTTATCATCCAGCAAAATTTGTTATCGTGACAGGCCAAAAGATGTTTTGTTTGTGGAGATAAACTGCTGTTCTTGAGTATTATACCTTGAACAAACATGATCAGACTAAGTACTCTATTTAGTAACAAATAAAAAGCTGAACATGTTGTTTCTGTTCTGAAACATGGTTTTGTTCTGAACATGTTGTTTCTACTGACATGGACCTTTGGAACAAATTAATCGCCCACCCCTGTGGTAACGGGATAAGAAAGAGACAATCTGTGTTATTTACCTGTCTTAATGTTGTGTCCGTTTTGTGAAAAGGTTTCAGAGAAATCCAGTCAGGTCAGTGTGAAGTTCAAAATGGCAAATTATGAGGTCCGTTTTAGTGCCCCCTTCTGGCCCCCCAAAAAACTGAGTTATATTTTTTTGACCCAATGTTTGGGTTGAAGCTACCAAACCTCTCTCCTAACAACATAAACCCAAGCATTCCTCAGAGGGCATTACCTTCAAATTCATATTTTCCAATTGTAGGAAGGTCGCACTCATTTAATTTAAAGTCCAATCAAAATTCCCGCGGTGATCTGTCTCCAATGGGATTCAAAGTAGGCCTCTTTGTGATCGGAGCAGCTGAACTGGGGAGGAATGTGCAACAATGGCGTTAGGGGAGCACAGCTGAGTGCACATCACCCTCTCACACAGACTCTCCAACACATAATGCCGCTGACTGGAGGCACAATGCTCCCTTTTCTTACCCTCAACCAGACTGTTTATCACGTGGGGTGAAGGTGAAAGGTAGCGGTGGAAAATGGACAACCAGAAAGAGGAGAAAGGAAAAAAAAGAAAAACATTTAAATGCGTGCTCCCCTTCCCCACCCTACCTTCTGTGGAAGCCCCACCTCCCGCATCCCTCCACTCCTTTCTGTCTCTCTGAAGGCTTGGCTGGAATAATAAAACGCACAACTGTTGTGATGTAAGGTTTGAATGAATCGCACACATGCGACGTGTTAAAAATGCGTTTTAGCGTGTCGCATTTAATCTTTTAGTTCCAGCGGAAAACTACAGTTAACAGTGAGACACATAGATGCAGTTTAGTTTATCATTATTTGGGGGGTCTTAAATCTGCTTCCTATTCCAAGAAAAAGATGAATAATTTACAAAAAAAAAAAAAAGACATTACGATACACTACAGCTGCATGTCACGGTTACATTTATGAATTAATGCACTCAACTGATATAATAGACAAGCTGTAAAAATATTTACAAGAGTAGATTTAATCGTATTTTAGGCACAAAAGGCTTCGATAGTACTCGGTGCCTCTTTTTTCCCGTTTCTACCCGGTGGTTGGGCGTTTTTTTCCCTCCCCCCCTTTTTTTTCTTGCCACCGACGTTTGGAAATCAGCGTCAATAACACTGTGAAAGATGCGCGCTCCCGCTACTGTACGGCGACCTGTTGCACGCCAGGCGCGCTCCCCCCCATCATAACAAGTTATGATTCATAAAATGTTATGACTCCTAAGTAAAAAAAAAAAAAGACGCTGTCCCGGATGTGCATTTCCACCGCTAACCGCTTGTCTCTGCCTCAATCCTCTTAAATATAACAGAAATATCACTTACCGCGTTGGAAGCGATGATTTTTGTATTGTTTGTTTTTTTTCTTAAAGCCCCCTCTTTTGGCACCGATGCTGTGGAATGACAGGAGTGGTGGAGAGCAGGAAGGGAGGGAGGGAAGAAACGCTCCGGAGCTCCGGGGTTTTGATCGGCTCCGTCTTTCAGCCGGGACACTTGCGCAGCATTTCCCTGTTCAGTCCCGGGGATGCGCAGTCGGACAGCTGCATTTTTTTCCCTCCCTCCCTTCAATTATTTATGCTCGTCGTAAATTGCATTTAACTCTCAAAACAAAGGGTTATGTTCTGCCAGGATGTGTCTGCGGGATGAGGAATAACGAGGGGGTGATGAAAATATCTGGAGAGAACATTGAAGAGGGGGGAGGATTGATTTTGTTGGCGCTGCTCTTCCTCCTCTCTTTGTATTTGTCGGGGGGCCTGTTCTTGTCCGGCCTGCCTGTCTGCATTCGCTGCGGTACTCTGTCTGTCTGTCCGGTTATCCCGGTCTGCTGTCTGGTATAATTAACGACCCTGTCTTCCACGTATAGAAGCACCGACCAGCTTACCAGCTCCACTAGCTCACAGTCGAAGTAAATAGCCAATATATTTTGAGCAAATTTGCTTCGCAGGCCTCCATTATCCTCTTCTGACTCACGTACACAATTCACATGTTGCATATTTAATGTTTAGTCAACAATTTAAAGCCAAAGTGGGTTCAAACACATAAGCTTTCAATGTATTTTAATGGAATTTCAATTGATAGACCAACACAAAACAGTGTATTAATATCAACTGAGTGAAGTCACCTTCTTCAAATTAAGCCGAATTTTGTCTGTGTTACATTTATGCAGTACATTTTCTTTGTTTGTACCACTATGATTTTAAAGACATTAATGATAATTGTTTCCAGAGGTCATCAAAGGTCAACTAGCTGCACCACATTTACAAAATGCAGCAAATTTGGTTACTAACACTGCTGCAAATATTTCAAACATATACCAATCAATGTATATTGATTGTGTTTGATTGTTTTAGTCACCTCTGGAAAATGTCTTATGTGGAAAAAAAATAAAAAAATAAAAATCACACTTGCAGAGGGAAAATTGAATTTTTTTTGTTGATATAAGATATTGCATCTCTCATTTTAAAATGTTAATGAAATGTTGTACAACATGTAAAAACAATGTTGTAGAAACATTTTTAAAAAGTTTAAATGCAGAGCAGTCATGGAAACAAATCTGATAAAGGTGATTAAATATAAGGGCACGCCACACTTTTCAGATCTTTACCTATAGACAACAAATGAGGCACATTTTCTTTTCTCTCCTTTTAAGAAAACATTAGAAAAACATCAGCAGTTTTCATTCTTAGTTTGTGAATGATACTATTAGCATCTCATGACGTAGAGGAGTAACCAGTCGCTCGTTATATCCACTAGGTTGCGCTGTGGAACAAGCATTACAGACTTGTTGCAAAGAGCTGGATTACAGCTTCAAAAACACAGACCCACAAATTTTAACTCATCACAAATTCTTTAATGTTTCCAATATATAGAATTGAGTAGATCCTAGCTGGGCGTTTAGACTGGATAAATGAAAACTCAGACAAATACTTATTTAAATGCACAAGCACTTCATGATAAATCATGTCTATCTTTGTTGATCCAGAAAGTAAGCAACTGCAATGTGGACAAAAAGTGTGAGCACTTCTGCAAAAATGAGAAGCTCTGTCTGTTTCCGGTCGGGAACATCCATGTGAAGAAGTGACAACAAATATGCAATTACCTCCCCTCCCCCCAAAACACAAAAAAATAATGATTGTTCGGAAATATATCTAGGAAGGGTTACGAGGCCATTTTGCTCACAATTTCTCATTAAAGGTAGCATTCGTTGGCATGGGATTGGCCAGAGAAACACCAAACTTCCATAAACAAGCTGAGAAGCCCAAAAATAAACAAACAGCACAGCTTGACTTCTGTTTGCAAAGCTGCATCTGAACAAACCACAAGATGAGAAAGTGGAAACACATATAAGCCAACATATAGAGAGAGCTTCCTCAGAGAGAAATGGACAGGGTTGTGTGATTAGGAATGTTTTCTCCTCGTTATATCTTGAAAATTTGGTTTGTTCTGGTAATCAAGAGCCATTTTTCCATCACTAAGTCTCTCTGATTCAGCCTTCCTTGCTTTGCGGAGCCGTTTTCCAGCCTTGGGAGTTTGAGAGCTGTTCTTTTTTTTTTTTTTGCACCTATCTTATTAAACTGAGCCTTGTCTGAGTTTGCACTTTTTATTATAAAAGAACTGTGTGAAGGACATTTTTTAACAAGCCTAAATAATGCCTGTGCAATTATTTTCTCAAAGCAGAGAAAGGTTATTATAATAGTACGGAGCTTTTTGGGTACAAATGGATTGAATGTATGATGATACTTGAGGAGGGAGTTTTTTTTTAAGTGTAACGTGTAAAAAAAGTTTATATCCTACCTTTATCTTTTTATGTCATTTTACATTATTACAGCAATCCTCAATCTTTTGTCTAACCAGAGATGTAAATGACAAGCAAAATGTTGCACAAAGCCAGGAAATCAAAGAAAATATGCACGGTTTTCACTTTTTTCCCCACATATAAAAAATATAAAGAGCTGTGTGCATTTCTATTTAGCCTCTCTGAACTATGCAGAAACACCTTTTGATGCAGTTACAACTGCTTTCTTACAGATTTCTTGATTTTCCATGATGTCTCAAAGGGAAACAGTGTGTTTGAGTTAAAGTATGCCTCCTTTTCACTCCGATATCATAAAGTCTTGGAATGATCTTTTAGGCTTTCGTGCTAATTGTTTAAAGGTACAAAAAATCTTAGTGTGTTTGATTTTGAAGTAAGCAATGAAAAATCTACAATTTTTTTGGTATTTTGCGAATGCTACGTATCTCACCTTCTAGTGAGACATATAGCACTCACTAGAAGGTGAAAGTCCTTCCAGTCTCAAGTCTGCAGTCTAAAAATAGCAGGACAAACTTTTATTTAGCTCCACTACTTTATGTTGCTCCATCACATTAAAATACATGAAGGTCTGGAACTGTGACGTTAAAAAAAAAAAAGTCTTAAAACGCAATGAATGCTTTTGCACTGTATAACCAGAATGAATTGAAATCAGGGAGAAAAACTCCTCCACAAACAGCAAATCTGTTTGCCTTTAACCTTACCTAATGACAACCCTTCACCTCCTCCCGTCTCGGGGTCAGGTGACCTCTCCGTCTGCCTTGAATCAGCTGGGATTAGTCAACATACCAGCTGCCTTCGGCTGATGGCAGTAGTCCAGTAACACCAGCAAGTAAGGAGCGTGCTTTATTGTTTCCTTTTGATTCTCTTATTGATAATTAAGAAGCCCGTATGGGGATACGGGAGTTAAAACAAAAGACGATCTATAGGGAACGAGTAGAAGAAATCAGGACGAGGTGTCGAGGATGATCTCCTGATCTTTGCACCGCAGCAGCTTAATGACTTAATGTTCATTTGAGGTTAGTGTTATACTCATTTCACCTTTGCTTAGATTAAATAATAATAATAATAAAAAAAACAGTTTTGGTTTTGTTGTTATATGCTTGTTTTTCACTGACTTCTTTGGTACATTGGTCTTCTTGTAATGCCAAGTTAAGGATGTCCGTTCACAAGTTAGAGCAGATTTGTGTTTAAGTTCATTCACTTTAGATCATTTTATCTTTCTGTTATTGTGTCATCCTTCCATCTGTTTTTATGGTGATTTACTGGGCGGTGATCTAATCTTAGAGCGGAGTAGGCAAAATCCCAGTAGACAGGATTACTGGTTTGAGTGAACAGTTGGCACTAATCAAAGGCTTCCCTCTTGTCCCTCTAATGCTGTTACATGAAGCACGGACATGTAACCGGGGCAGATAGTCCTTTATTTGAGCCTCAAAGAGAAAAGCTGTTTTTAATTTTATTTTCTGCTTCACTGATTGTCTTCCAAGTCACTTGTCTGCTCTCCTCTGTTTCGGGCCGATCTTTTACCTCGTAGCTCCCATCAGGCATCATCTTCTGAGCTTCCATGGCGTCTTTGGACGAAGAGCTCACCTGCTCCGTTTGCCGAGACAGCTTCAGCCAGGCCCACCCTCTACCTTGTGGCCACAGCTTCTGCCCCGCCTGCATCCGTGAGGCCTGGAGCGCTCAGGTGGAAGGAAAGGGTCGCTTCACCTGCCCCCAGTGTCAGGAGGAGCACGGCGAAGTCCTGTGCGACTGCTGCCCTCTGCAGGCGGAGGACAGTCGGCCGCCGATGGCCGTAAAGACCTGCTTGAGGTGCGAGGTGTCGCTCTGTGCCGACCACCTTCGGCCCCATCTGGAGAGGCCGGCGTTCAGCTCCCACCTGCTGGTGGAGCCGCTGGGGGACCTGTCCCAGCGGAGGTGTCCGGCACACGCGGAGGTATTCCGCTACTACTGCGTGGACGAGCGGGTGTACGTCTGCGGGGACTGCCTGCTGGAGGGGGCACACACGCTGCACAAGGTGAAGCCGCTGAGGCAGGTGGAGGAGGACCTGAAGGTGAGCTGGGTGACAGGGCAGTGTTACGTGTTTTCTCTTTCTTTCAAGGTTATTCCCGGTGTTCTAGTGGCCTTTATTTGAGAGTGGTCAGGCAGGAAAGTGGGTTATGAGAGGAGGAAGACATGCAGCAAAGATCAACAGGATCCACTAAGGCCACATCTCACGCTTTATCCTTGCCTGCGACTGGGTTTAAAAAAAAAAAAGTTTACACAACACTCCCCCTATGTGAGGATGATAGTGTGTTGCATATATCAAACATAATATGAGGGTCACAAACTGAAGCCGATGTTCAGCAACGTTTAGACGTCTCTCCTCTTCAGCCCGGCTCCAATATTAGCTCTTTAACTTCATACTAGAGAGGGAGGTTCACCATTTAATTCAAGTGTGTAGGCCATAGGGACATATCTAAAAGTTGCATAAGTCTCTCCCTCCAGGAGTGCAGCTGGAGACTGCTGACTTAAAAGAAATTCGACGCAACTTGACGCCTTGAAATTGGGCCTCTGTCTCTTTAAGAAGTTCCTGCTGTTTCCAGCGCTCCGCCTTCAGCACATCATCACTTCAACTCTTACAAACATTAGTCAGCGCACTGGACTGAGAAATAGTTCATATAATGCGAATGCGCAGTTCCACCAGGTGTTTGCTAATTGCTTCTGGCTAGTCTGAAGGAGCTGAGTGGTGGAGCGGCTCTGTAATGCAGAAGCTCGGCTTGGAAACTGCAGCAGCGCATGGAAGAGTAGAACAGAATATTTTATAAGGCGGCCCTTGGTTCAAGGATTGCTCAAACGTGCACGAGAGAATCAATAAGACTCTACAGGTATGTTTTTGATGAGGGAATAACATCATTACATGAAGTAAATATCAAAAAAGTTGATTTTACACAACTCTGCCCCTTTAAACATTCTAAACTTGTCCATGCTACAACCTCAACTTTCAACGTGTGCAGCATTACTGGGATTTTATATGGCAAACCAGTACATTGTACACAGGGAAATGGGAGTTATTGCATTATATGGGTGACTTTCTTTTGGCATGGATTTTAAGATAACCTTTTTGAGTATTCCAAACACTTTGTTTAGATCAAAGCACATTCAAAAACTGGAACTGGCCATTCAGTTGCAAAGAAGAATATGGAAAGCAGGTGTTACTTCAAAGCTGTAGATTAGAAGGTGCAACTGCAGCAAAAAGTGGTTTAAGAAAGTATTGACTCAAAGAATCCGAATACAAATGCATTGTTTATATATAATGTCCCAGTAAAGCTGCATTGAGAAAAAAAAATGTAGAAAAGGTTCAAGGGTTATTCATGTTTTTGCTGGATTTTGGCAGGTCCGGGTAAGGTTGCTCTAATGGCATCTTGATTTTCCAGGTCATCTTACAGACGCTCCTCATCAAAGCAGAAAAGAAGCTAAAAGATGGAGAGAAAGCTCTCAAAGACCACGAAAACATCGACTCTGCAATGGCGGTAAATAAAGACTTTGTCTTATCAGTTTAAGTTATTCCAAACCGGACAAGGCTAATCCATTTGAGGAGTCACGAAAGGCGATCAATGTCTGTCATTACACAATTTATTCAAACATGTTGCATGCAAACTCATGTGAATAAAATAGGACACCCCATATCTCATTTGTCATTAACAAATGACAAATGACAAACATTAACAAAACGACTTATCTCTGAAAAAGAAAGCTTGATTGCACTTAAATTACAACAAAAAAAGCATGTTATGCTTATCTGAGAAAAAAGTTAAACAAAAAATGTTTTTTAGCTAAGCAAAAAGTTAGCGCACCCTTGCCTCAAATAATCTCACTTCTTTTGACTATAATAGCTTCTTTGAGAAATTTGCCCCAGTCTCTGACGTCAGGTGCGGGGAAACTTTTTCTCCTCTCTTTACTTTCAGCTGTGAGATGTTTGAGGAGTTTCTTACATCTACAGCCTGTTTCAAGTCACGCCACAACGTCCCAAAAGGATAAAGATCCGGGCTTTGACTCAGCCCAGTACTCGCCATTTCTTAATTCTCAGTTCTTGGTGGATTTGCCGGGATGCTTTGGCTCGCTGTCATCTTGCAGAATCCAGTTCTGGTTCAGTTGTGGCTTATATTTTTCAGAAACTCTCATCTTTTCCTGCAAAATTGATGGTGGATGCTGTGATTGTGAGCAAGTAAGCCCCTGCTGCATAAAGGCATTCCCACACCATGATACCTCCACCTTTGTGCCTTACAGTTGGCGTGAGGTTTCTTCTCCTGTTTATGACAATATTTATTGCACACATTCAATAAATGAGTGATTTTTATGAACTCTATTCATTTATGACTAATTAATTACTTTTTTTTAAGTCTACTGGTACTACTTGAAATTGGTGTCCATATGGTTGACCTTTGACCTATGGAGACTTTTTTTATGAATATCTTTAAAATGGTATGGGCACAAACACAGATCAACAATTTTGTTTAATTTTCGTAAAGTTTGGTTGACCATTTGACCTTTAAACTGGAATTAATTTCTTCAAAACAAAAGCAGCACAAGAGAAACTTTTATCAGCACAAACGCAGCAGACTTGATTGTCACAGATCGTGTTTGAGTTCGCAAAAGCGAGGGGACCTTTAGAAATATTTATTAAAATCTTTAAAGCAATAGCGGCACAAATTAAACTTTTGGTTGTGCAAAACAGCAGAAAGAACGTACAAACATTTGACACCTGTCTCATCTGATTTGACAGATGGTGCCATGTTGTTTCGCCAGTTCAATTTGGGGTAATTGTGGGGGCGTCCTAATTTATTCCGCACCATAAATTGTAATTCATTTTTTTTAGTTACATCTTAGAAAGACACAAATAAACTCTCTTTTCTTCAGCTTAAGTAAATCGGTCGCACTTCTAGAACTTTGCAGAATCATTATTTCCACATTTCCGCGTGTCAAAATGTGCCAAAAATCACACAACTGGCCTCCTCCAGGACTCCCTGAAGCGGGACGACGGCCAGGTGGAGCGGCTGGACACGGACCTGCAGGCCCAGGTGAAGAAGCTGGTGGCGGCTCTGAAGGAGATCACCAAGAGGGAAAGGCAGCAGATCATAGAGCGTGTGCACCAGGACTGCGCCAAAGTGAGAGATGACATGAGCCAGACGGCGCACATTCAGCGCTACCTGAACCTGCTGCTGGCAGAGACCGACCCTTTCCTGCTCATCTGGGTAAGACTCTTACAGCTACTCAGTGCAACAGTGGGACTCGGCTGAAAAGCGTGGCACAAGATCTTTACATTTGAAAACACAAGTAAAACCACTTGAAGGCATTAAATGGGAGAAGATGGGTGATACTGCATATTTTGGTATTGAGCCAATGCCAAGTAAATACAGAGCCAGTATCGGTAATACCGGTACTTTTTCTTTAAGTTTGATATATCATCAAACGTCTGACTGTTAGGTGTTTTTGTGGTTTTTCTTTTGGATTATTTACCCGGGACAGAGTCTGGACAAAGTTTATAGGTATCTACAAAGTACTTGAATAACTTTCTAACATGATTTCTGTGCATTTTTAGTCAATGAACAAATTGCAAAAAATATACAACGTGAGAGGAAATCGAAACAAAATCTTTTTTGTGGAAGAGTCGAGAAACCACAGCACAAAAATAAAACAAAATGTCAAGAGGGAATCTGAGGCTAAAATATCGATCTTGTGGATCCAATTTTACACCTGTATTAACTGGTTACTCATCTAATTTTGGTTTGCAAAATGAAAAATACACACATTTTGGATCATTTGTCCGTCCCTTCTTCTGACTGCACCGGTCAAGATATTACATACGGCGCCAGATTTAAATGATCGGAGGCAAAGGAAAGAGTACAGAGTAGCCCTTACCTGCATCTGCTCAGCTGGTGAAATATTGACAGTCACAAGGCTGAGTCTATCCAGTGGATATAAATCATTTACACAACCCTGGTAAGACGTAAGGTATCTCTGATATAAAATGTAACTTTTTCCACAAGTCTGTTGGAGGGAAATTTAAAAAAAAACTAAAAGAAATGGCAAGAAACCTGACCGCGTACGTTCACACACTCTTTGACTTTGACTTTTCAAAACCGTCCTCTAATTAAAGTTCAGAATCGAGACCCACACTATGCCAGTTTAACCATCTCACATGAATATCTCTGGCATTTTCCGCTTTTAACTGTAGCCACAGTTTGCAAAGAGGAGTCATTAAAAGAAGTTAAAAAGAATTTAACTTCAAAACTGTTTATCTGGGAAGGTTTGGATATCAGAGCTTAATGATTATAGTCAAGCCTAAAATTATTCAGTAAATGTAGAAGAACCTTTAAGAGTATGTCTGCTCATAGGCTTTACCTTTTCTGAAAATTAGGTAAATACAAGGTAAAAAAAAATAATGTATGCCCTGAAGTGAAATTTATGTTTGTGCTTTAGCTTTCAAAATTATAAAAATGAATCCAAAATATACAGAAGTGGTGTTAAAAAAATATGCACACTCTTCCTTCTTTCATGCCCCTTTAGTGGGTTAAGTACAAATTATTAATTGATTAACTGATAATTGTAACGTCGTGGAATCGTAATTTGCTGTAAAACAGAAGAATCGACATGTTCCTGTGAAGGTCAGAGCGGCAGTCTGATTGAAATGCTCCTCTAACATACTGAGAGACACAAACTAATGAATTAAGAAAAGCTAAAAAGACGAGTAGAAAATAATTATTTTATCACAATGTCAGAGACTAATAAGGTCTTATAGAGCGGAAGGTGATTCTCCATCTTACTGAATCTGAGAGGTTTTACGGTTTCTCAAATATTCTTGCTGAAAATGTAGCAAGTTGTTTCATTTAATGAAAAAAAAAAAGAGAAGAGACAGGAACATGCTTCGTGTGAATGAACAAAAAAGTGACCTTGTAGGTTTTTTCCCTTTTTTTTCAGAGCAGATTCACATGAATCCTTGTAATTCATTCTGTTAACGTAACGTGTCACGTTTCTTTCCACTGTCCTTTTCTCTTGCAGGCGTTTCAGTCAGACGACACAAAGTAAGTCCAAACAAAGGATTTTTTGTTTTTGTTTGTTATTTTTCTGTTAAGGATGCTCGGGCTGACGTAAAGTCTAGATTGGCTTGCTATAAAAATGCAAGATGTAACAATCATGAGAGGATTTTCTTATTCTGCACCATGCGGTGTGTTGCAGATTGCTAGCAGACCTGAACTGCCCACTTTTCCTCCCTGAGCCCATCTGTGTGGACAGGAAGCACATCCTGGAAGACGTAGAGGGCAAATATCGGGAGTTCATCACGTCCACCCTCCGCTGCCTCAGCGAGCTCAAGAGGGAGCTCTGTGAGTGGCTCGTTAGTTTCACCCGTCGGCTTCACCGAACAGCAACATTACTTATCTGTGAGGAAGTAGTTTGACTTCTGGGAAATGTTTGCATTTTTCGGTAACACTTCATTTGAAGGGGTGTGCATAAGAGTGACTTGACACTGTCATGTTCATGACATAACACCCGTTATGAACATGAAGAAAACTTTATGAATGTTTATGACAGTTGTCATGAAGTGTCATTCAGTAAATAATGACACTTTTAATGCAAAGTTGCTCTAAAAGTTGCATTGAAAGTCCATTAAAAGTGAAAACTTTGCATGATTTTGTAAATTATGATAATTTAATGCAAAGTTGGCATTTTTAATGGACTTTCAATGCAACCTTTAGAGCAACTTTGTATTAAAAGTGTCATTATTTACCGAATGACACTTCATGACATCTGTCATAAACATTCATATAGGCTTCTTTATGTTCATGACAGGTGTTATGTCATGTTTATGACGGTGTCATGTCAGTCTTATGCACACCCCTTCAAATAAAGTGTTACCCATATTTCTAACACATATCTACTAAATTTTACAAACATATTCCCAGACATGATCCTTTTGGAAAACTGTTCTTTTTTAAAAATTCAGTCATGAAAAATTATTCATATCCCTTGATTTATTTATTTACTTCCTTTTTTTTAATTTATTTTTTATTTTTTTACATTTTATTACATTACAAGCCCAATCCCTTTGTATTTATTTATATCTTATGTAGTGAAGTAGAAGGAAAAAATATTTCTGGTTCTCAAACTTTTTTTTATTTTTCTATTTTTATTTTTACCAAATACAGAATCTGAAAAGTGTGGCATGCTCATCCTCTGAACATATAAATGTTGTATAGAACCACCAATCACTGCAATTAAAGACACAAATGTTTTGGAGGTATTTTCCTTTGATATTTGACTTACTGGATTCAAAGGCATTAAGTCAAGTGCAAGCTCAGGTTAGCAACCAGAGCCATATTTATCCTGTGGCCCTGATGGCATCAGGTCCAGATTTTACACCTGGGTTGTGAAGATATGTCCCGACTCCATCACTATCCACAAAAATATAACAAATACAAAAGATAGTTCATCCAATTTTAGAGAGAAAAACACAGCACAGCTTTTTGAATAGCAAACTCCAGGTAAGTTCAGCAGCTGTGCATTTTAAAATCAAACTCTTGACTTATATAAGAAATACAACCTTGCTCTTCCCAGATCCAAATGAAGTTGCATGAAATTGTAACTTAATGCAGGAAGGCCTTCACAGAATATATGAATTTAAATTAAGATTACATTATGTTTAGGTAGACGCTATGTGCAAATAAAGTGATTTCCGCTGTTGCCTTAGATTTTTGTTTTGGGTTGTTGGATTAAAAACCTTGGAGGTTTTTTCGGGACAACCCTTTGCAACGTCCACAGCGAGGACTTTAAGGACGAACAAGTATTAGAGAAGGTGTTTAAATTAAACTACCAGAAAACGATTCACTGTTTAATACAAGTCCGGATTTCTTGTTAGGTTTCAGATCACTGATAAGTGCAGTAAAAAGTAACCACCTTAAACGCTGGACTCTCTCCCCGCAGTAACCAGCCCTCTGTCCCTGGACACAAACTCTGCCCATCCTCTACTGAGCATCTCTGACGACCTGCGTTCAGTCACGCGTGTAAAAAGCCGGCTGCCCTGCGCCGCTCACCCCGAGCGGTTTGACCACTGGCCACAGGTCCTCACCGTCCAGACCTTCTCCTCTGGGACTCACTACTGGGAGCTGGAGGCTGAGGGATTCTGGGATGTCGCCGTCTGCTATCGGAGCATCGGACGGAAGGGGAAGGAAGGGAACGCTTTTGGAAACAACAAGGTAAAACTGTCGCTACGTTGTGACGGTATAAAACGAGACAGATAATCTGTGAGAAACTGGGTCGGACCTGCCAACTTCAAAATATAGACTTATGGTTTTCCTTTGCCTCATTCCTTTTAGGCGTTACTTCTTGCTACAGGTGTAGATTTTGCTGATTTTACCACCTTCTACCTCTCTTGATCTGTTCTGAAAGGACCAACTTGAATCTCCTGTTGCCGCGTTCATTTTAAATAAAGTCAGAAACGCGTTAAGAAGGCAAATTTGCTTTTCACTTGAAATGTAAAAATACCAAAACGTCTTTCCGAGTTTCTATCCGGTGTTAGAATCAACAAAGACCTGAATGTTTATGTGGTTGCGTTGATGATTCATCGTTGAGTCGTGTTGTTTCTGTTTGGACTGCAAACCTATGTAACTTTTCCCTATTTTGTTCTTGTTTGGTTAAAGCATCGTTACTGTATCTTCCCAGGTGTCGTGGAGCCTGACGCAGCAGCATGACAAAAAGCTGTCTGCCTGGCACAACCGCAGGAAGACACGGCTCACGTACCAAATGGTCGGCAATCGAGTCGCAGTTGCAGTGGACTACAGCTCCGGGACCATCACCTTCTCCGAAGTGGGACCTTCCAACACCCTGATCCACCTCCATACTTTCTCCACCAGCTTCACCCAGCCTGTGTGTTTGGGCTTCGGACTCTATAAAGCCGAGCTCAAGAGCCGCATCTCTGTCGTCAAAGTGTGAGCAGGAGATCGACGCGACTGGGACTTTTTCCGTGAGCCACACTCACTTCCTGGCTGACTACTGGCGTTCTCCTCCTAAAAAGTGCGTTGGTCTCAGAAATGCTTTCTGACAATGTGAAATGTGAGCACAGAATCCTGACGGTCTTTAAAATAAAGAGAGAGTTCTGTTTTTAAGCAAATTTGAAGTATTCTTATCAATTTTTTATTATTAACCTTGGATTTGAGAACACCCATTCAATTAGAGAAGGATATATTTTTTTGAACAAAATCACACAATTATTGAGTCGGCACATCCTATAAAATGTAGCTTTAAAGAAAATTGAAGCACGGTAGAGTATCTATGATGCCGGGGGCCGATTTCTCCTCCAAAAGCCCTGAAACCCTTGTGAGAGCGCATGGCGGCGTAAAGTCTTTCGGTGTAACTCAAATTAAGAAAAATAAATTATTTTTTACTTTTAACGCAACACATTTTCCCACATCCTTAGCAGGGGTGCAAATCCTTGTGAAGGCTGCTGCATGTGTGAATTTCAACCAAAAGGATTCAAGTTGCCACACTTCCAAGTCTTAAAAAGAAAAATATTTTCCCTTTTTTATTTGACAAATTCACATCTTATAAGTAGCCTTCTGAATTTACAGCTTTGAAACCGCGCACTGTTTGGCACCATAGCTACCAGCCAAGCAAATGATTATTACTTTACCGGAAAGATTCATTATGCTTTCATCCTTTTTAGCTAACCTTCAACTCGAGTCATGTCTCTGCTCTTACTGGAAACTAGAAGAAGAAGAAGAAGAAGAAGAAAGAAAAAACAACTGACACTCTCTCTGTAACTTTGCTCTTTGAAGCTGAGCAGACTCCCAATCACCTTCCTTTATTCCTCTGTTAGGGTGAGTGGGTGGATGCAAGGTAAGAGGGTGAGGAAGAAGCAGATGAACAGAGGGGGTGGCTGAGAAGAGAAGGGAGGACAAACACACACAGAGAGAGAGAGGAAGGGAGAGAGAGAGGCAGAGAGAGAGAGATCAGAGGATACTCCAGATCGGCAATCAGTTCGACTTGCAGTGAGAGAATGTGACGGGAAGAGCTGGAAAACAAGGATTTTTCCCGCTTCGCCTGACTTTGGCTGGACGGATCTCACAGGGTTTGCTGACATGGGACACAAGTTTCTTCAGCTGAAAACAGGTGATTGTCTAGTTTTTATTTACCACCTATTCTTTCAAGCAAATAGTCATTCTATTTAATGGTAAATATTCATAAACAATATTCATTAAAACTGAGGTTCTATACAGGGGGGGGTAGCCTCCCCAAAACAATGTTTCATTTCAGCCAGCCAGAAGATCATAGGGGGACACTGAGCTGACCAAGTCCTGTTAGTGTGTGCAGCTACAGCATATGTTGAGACGGTGTTTTCGTGAAGGTGTGTGTGCTGAGGATGCGTGAGGGAGGGAGGGGGGTCTCTGTGTAAAAGACAGATGGTCACTCAGTGGAGTTGTTCCCTTTCTCAGTCTCTCCTTCTGGGTCTCCCTGTCATCCTTCCAGAATCCTGCCTCATCACTTTTTTTCTTTGTCATCCATCCTCTTTTCTCGCTTGTCTCATTATTTATTTATTTAATTATTTTTTGCTGTGGGAATACAAAGTATATTTTTTCACTCTGTCCACACGCATGTCTCTTAACTCTTCAGATTGCTCAAAAGTTATACTTTCAGACCATCTCGGGGCTTGTTTCACCAGGTTCAGTCATGCCAATCTGGTCTGTCCACTTTGACCTCCTGATATTACCGAGCCTGCTGCTGCAGCTGCTCCTGTTGCTCTCGCCGCCCCTGGAAAGCGGCGCCCAGAACGACACGGAGCCCATCATCCTGGAGGGGAAGTGCCTGGTGGTGTGTGACTCCACGCCTTCGTCGGAGCCCGCTGGGAGCGCCCTGGGCATGTCCGTCCGCTCCGGCTCAGGACGGGTGGCCTTCTCGGCCAGCCGGCAGACCAACCACGAGCCGACAGACATGAGCAACCGCACAATGATTATCTACTTTGATAACGTGAGTAACTTTGAAATAGTCTTTAAGAAGGCTTTTGTTGCAGGCCACCGAATTTTATTTGTTATCAAAATTTAATCAGTCTATTACTGGAATGAGTAAATAGTTTTTCCTAATCAGAGAGTCGTGGTACTACTGCTGCGTACTTTAGGCTGACTAACTGAGGTTCCAATGATGAAATTGGAATATTGAGAATGCAGCCGAAAACTGAGCTATCACTTACAGGGTCGATAATTAATCACACAGCAATATCGTAACGATGAATTAAGTAAAAAACCACTATAAGCCCAGAAAACAGCCTTATCAGAACACCAAATACTCAGAGCGTCGCGTGGCGCGGTGGTCAGAGCGCGCGCCCCGTATACGGTTGCTATAAAGATGGCGGCCGTACCGAGTTCTACTCTTACTTGTTAGATTACTGTCAAATAAAGGCTACGGGTGCCGAACAAACACCTTACTTTGGTCTGAATTGTTTTGTTTCTCTTCTCAACGAACTGAGCAGGGTCTTCTGTGGTACTCTGTTCCCTCCGTGGGTCGTTTTGTGGTAGGTCGAAGGACAGTTTTCCACTTTGGATCAGCACCAAACCAGTTTTAGCAAGGACAAGAGAAATGAGAGCTCTTTAAGAAAGCGGGGTGAGAACAGCTTGAAACTTCACAGATTAGTCTGTGGTTCTGTCTTCTTGGTTCTTTGCTGGCCCATTTTAAGAGCAAACAGAAGTGGCCCCAATGTGATTATGACAATAGGCGCTGATTACTAAATTGGGTGCTACATTACACAATTAATGCCAGAATAGGATCGATGATATTTTTCAGAACCACAAGTTAAGTTTCCAGGGAGAGATCAAATCCAAACCAAAATATAACAAAAAAATTTCCGTCTGGAAATAGTTTGTGCTCGAGATCTTCTAGACACTAAGCATGTAAGATCATTACTTTAAAGAGCATTACCTGACACTGACAGGTTAAGACCTCCGGCAAACATCTTGATCTGAGTGTAAAACTGTGCAAAAAGTTGAATTTCTGAAGTTTTGCATCTCTACGCATAACAATGATAAACACAGGAAATTCCAGTGCTTGAAAGGTGTGAAAGAAGAAGACTCACTTTTGTTGTCCCACGTCTACTAATATGAATGCACATCTGATTACATCCAGGCACTGAGGCTAAATGATAATAAACTAACGATTGAACATTTGGACTTGGTGTGCTGCCCACAAAACTGTGAGATTATGCAGCACATTCGAGGCTTTTTTACAGTGCAAAGAAGAGAGAATCAATAGCTTTGAGACCGAGGGCCAACTGAATGTGTAATAAATAAAGTTACTGGAGTGACCTTGGAGTAGGCATGAATGCTTTTAACAACAGCCCTCACACTTCTTCAAAGTGTCTTTCTTTGAAGACACTTTGAAGAAGTGTCATACCTTGGACAATTTCCTTGCTGACATCGCCTACCTCGCCTGCATTTCCCCCCTCGAAATCTCCGCAGATTTTAGTCAACGTGGGCACTCACTTTGACCAAGAGAGCAGCGTCTTCGTCGCGCCACGCAGAGGGGTTTACAGCTTCAACTTCCATGTCGTAAAGGCCTACAACAGACAGACTATTCAGGTATGCCATCACCCTAATTCAAGCAGTTGCAGTTGAGGTTGTAGCTGCTTTGTGCGTTCTCCCTGATCCGTGTGTTTGATGGCTCTTAGGTCAGCCTGATGGTGAATGGCTGGCCGATGATTTCAGCGTTTGCGGGAGACCAAGATGTGACCAGAGAAGCAGCGACCAATGCAGGCCTGGTGATTCTGGAGAAGGGCGACAAGGCCTACCTCAGACTGGAGAGGGGGAACTTGATGGGAGGCTGGAAGTACTCCACGTTCTCCGGCTTCCTCGTCTTCCCCTTGTGAGATGGGTGGAAAGTGGAAGTGCTGGGTAACAGGAAAGGTGTGAGTGATGGGTGTTACAGCGCTTTGCAAAAGTAGCTACACCTCTTGACCTTCTTGACATCATGAATCCGTTCGTCTTTAGAAAACATGTCAGGCTCGGTTAGGTTGGGTGGAGAGCATCTGCGAACACCATTTTCCAAGATGTTCGCATCTTGGAAAATGATGCGAAGACATGCTGGGTCATTCTAACACATGATGATTTTTTTTTTATCTTACCATAGTCCCTTCTTCCACATGCTTGTTATTTCTCTCACATGACTTCTGGAAAACTGCAAAAAGTACTTCTTTTGATTCTCTTTCTTGCCACTATTCCATAAAATTAAGATTGGTGGCGTTCATGGCTGATGGTTGGCCAATCAATAGATTATCCAAACTGAACTGTGTATCTCTGCAGCTTGTTCTGAGTTACTGCTTGCCCGCCTCTCTGACTGATCCTGTACTTCACTTTAGGTCAGATGCCTTATCTTGGTAGGCTTAGATTTGTGCCATAGTGTTTCCATTTCCAAATAATTGGTGGAACATCGCTCTATGAGATGTTGAAAACTTGGGATATGCTTTTAGCAAAACTTCTCTACACCTTTCTCTCTGACCCATCTGCAGTGTTCCTTGGTCTTCATGATGCATGTTCTCTAACAAGACTCTGAGGCTTTCTCAGAACAACATGGATTTATAATAATATTATATAACACTCAGTGGACTGTCTAACTTCTAAAAACATCTAGTTGCATTGGATTTTAATGAAAACAAATCAAATTAAAGAGGGTTTATTTCCCTTCAACTTCACAACTATGCATCTCAAAAAAAAAAAATCCCACAAATGTAGACAGACGTTTCTCATTGTAACCTTATAAAATGTGTAAAAGTTTGAGGTGTATGCCTTCGCAAGGCGCTGTACATCCAGTTTTAGGACTAAACAAATGAAGAGAACTATCTATAAAAAAAAAAGTTGCAGAAAAGCTACAAACACCCAATGGAAATATTTTATTTATTTTGTCTTCGTGTGAAATATTTATTGTTTATTAAATATAATGATTGTGGAAAAAGTATCTATTTGTGCTCCTGTGCTGGCATAATGCCAAGCCTTAATTTTTGTTTGTGTTAACACCTAGCTGTGCTCCAAATATCCAGCTTAAAAAAAAGTATTTTGTTTGAGTTTACTGTATGACTGTTTCTCCTCTGTCTGCCTGTCAGCATCATACAAAAGATGTCTATTTACCAACAAATTTCTATAAAGAACAAAGCGCTAAAAAACTGAAGTCACCTCAACTTGACTGTTTGCATGCAAAAAAAGGATTTTATGAATCACTGCAACTGTGACTGTTTAATCTGCAAAAGCAAGGCAGATTTCCTCATGCCCTTTCATGCTGCCGCGTTTGGCGGCAGCGGTTTGTAAATATAGCTCCCACCAGCCGTGCTGGCGTTGGCGAGGACCAGGCACACCAGCGTGCGACGCGGTATAAGTGCCGAGTGTGGCGGATGCTCCTTGCAGAGACACGGACAGATGGAGGCTTTGGCGAGCCTGCCGGCTCATCCCTGCAGGACATCCATGGATAAAGTGTGGCGCACTGTCACATGAAGTCATTTACGCTTCCCTGGTTCAGAACCACCGCTCTCGGTTTGTCTGTTTGTTTTTTCTTACACGCGTCTTTACTAAAACAGTCATAGATACAGGACCAGGTTTAGGGGTATTTGGTCACAATGCCCTACTCACAGAGGTTCCTTTTACACTTAAGCTACAAATTTCAGTAGATTGATGGTTAAAGGGGCAGCAATATGTAAAAATAATTTTTGGGGGACTTTATATCATGTCATCATGTTATTCCTCTCAACAGACCTGGAGTGCTGCTTTGATTCTTTTATGCTTGTTTGAGAAATCCTTTAATTTCCCATGGAAACCATTTGGGTTGCCTAATCGCTTGCTGCTGCAAAGCTCCGCCTATTTGCACGAAGCCCCTCTTTGTAGCTCCAGTCTCCAGCCACTCAGCTCCTCCAGACTAGTGACAGTAGCAATTAGCAATCACCTGGTGGACTGCACATCTGTGGAGCTAAAGATGTGAACTATTTCCCAGTCCAGTTCTCATGAAAACGTTTGTGAACAGCTTAACAGAGAAATGTTGCAATGACGTACTGAAGACAGAGTCTTAAAAGAACAGCAGCTTCTTAAAGAGACAAATGCCCAATTTCAAGGCATTAAATTGTAAAGTCAAATTTCTTTTAAGCCATACTTGATATATATATACAGCACAACCAGTGGTAACATGCTTACTTGACAATGCCATAAAATACTCATATGTACCTGGAAAATACATAATACTGGCCCTTTAAATACATCAGCTACAAGGATTTTAGGTATTGTCCCCATGAAACTTTGTTGTTCTAGAATTATCTTTATAAACATCTCCTACTTATGGCATAATTTTACAGATATGTCTTCATCTGTACAAGAGAAAAGATATACATCCAAAAACCCACTAGACAGGCTGCTGGCTGCTAAAATTAATCTCTGAAGTGCATAAAAGTAGGTCTGTGCTCTAAACTGAGCTCCCGTTGCAATTTTCCAATAAAATGTCATCACACTTCAGGTGCACTGCTCTAGTCAATCTGAGGAAGAGCAAAAGGGACATTTAACAAAGAATAGCAAAAGGAGTTGGTGTTCATTAATACAGAAACACTCAAACTGACCCCAAGCATTATGATAACTATTTGTGACAATGAAAATACACCAGAAAAATCTGTTTTAACAAAAACATAATCATTGTCAAAACCTTTCTTATTGATTATTAATTATTAAAACATTTCATATGGGCTTGCTTACAAGCTTTACTGCTTTGGTTTTTATGGTGACAGTTTGAAGTAAGTCAGGACTCTTCAGACGAAGTGCAAACAGTGAAAGTTACTAATGAACAAAATCACTTTAGCAGTGAAGAGAAATGACCAAAATGCTAGTACAATTTTAAAAATCTGGTGGTTAGCTGAGGGTAAGGTGTTAATTGGGAGAGGACATCTGTCATTTTGATTAAATGGAGCAGAATGGTCGCTTTCAAGGGGTTTGGTGCATGAATTTGTTCCTCCGGGAACAGGTTTCACATGTAAGAAAACTGCTATTAGTAAGATTGTACCCAAAATCAGCCAACTAAGGATTGTTCCCACCAGTGCAGACAGCCTGCTCAAGGACAGCAGAAAGAATGTATGATTTAACTTTTTTTTTCTTTTGTGCATGTACAGTTTGGCTGAGACTTTGATGCTGGTTTGGTGTCAAGAATGGCAACAAAGAATCCAGATTTCTCTCTCTCTCTCTCTCTCAAAAACCCATCAGCAACAGATTTCCATTCCACAAAGAGCACCAGGAATTAAGAGTTGTAACGTTATTTTTTTCCCAATAAATCTCCCAGGGAAGTTTGGATAACGCCTGTCCCGAGATGAAAAAGTGCATGATGTTATGAGCCCTGTGCCATATGAACAAAGAATCACGATCCAAATTGAATAAACTTAACATAATCTCATTACATTAAAAAGAAACTCATAAAACAAAGATCTAAACAATAAATTACATTAAAGGTGGAATGAACAAATAACTATCTTCTCAGATTAATTTGACCCCTGCCTTTCATACAAGAAACTCTATCAAATGGCTGTTTTAGTGTCAGGACGTTAGAGGGCGCTAAAGTCCCGTCTTGGATACTGGAATTTCTGCTAGACGCGCGAACATCATTTTGATACAATATGGAAAGCTTGTATATATTTGATATAATAATAATAACCAGAACACGATGCAATGGGTAATCATGTGGTCTGCGTTTACGGATCTAAAAAAAAGTCAACAGCAACACCTCAGGAAGTCTGCATTCAAATGATGGAGGCTGATAACCTGAGCTATGGCAAATGCAATAAAATGCTAAAAAAAATTATACCGTCAAACACAAACACGTCTGAAGGGTGAGTGGTCATTTGAAACACATCAAATTACATTTGGTTTTCTCAGGTCAACTCTAAAAGCGACTGGCTTTAACTGACGGCATCTTCAGCTGTAAAACTGCAGTGATGAAGATCACCGAGTCAAATGATCCCTACTAGGCCGCATTTATTGTTCTCTCAACCGAACTACGGGGTCTCATCCCGCCCATGCTGGGGGAGAGTAAAAATGACTGATGGTAAGCTGAGCCAATGAAATCGCCACATTCCGCCGGCCGGGAGAAACCCGACCAATCACCGTTTAGCAACTGCAGAGTGGGCTCGCTTTCTGCGTTCTCTCTAGCAAGAAGTTAGTTCCTGCTCTTCCCTGGCCGTTTCCTGTAATCGTACAGTGTTGTGAGACGGAGAAAGCCATGTGTGTCGATGCAAAGGTAAATTTAGCACCCCGAATTTATTACTGTGAGAGTCGAGGGGGTGGTTGGGATGGTTATTTCACGGTATTTTTGCCGAAAATTTAGACGCAGACCAACCGAAACAGCATTGCGGCCTAACCTGTGTCTGAACGTTGTCGGGCAGTGGTTATTGTGGCACGTTGCTTTGGTTTGGTCCGGTTTGTTGATGAGATTGAAGGAGTCCGGTAGACTGAATGGTTACTAGTAAATGACAGAGAAGGGACCCAAGAACCACGGACGTCCTATGAACCGTCTTTTTGACTCCTGTATGTGCACCCGGTGTCTCAGACGCTTTGGTAATCGACACATTTTGGTCGCTGTAGAAGCTAATGCTAGCCGACGGGGTTTATGAGAGAGACTGCGATAGGAGCAGGGAGGAAAACATCCTACATGTCCTGCATCCGTACCCTGCTTGTTTGACTTTACTACACACTATTCCCATTCAGAAGATTTCTTTTGAACTACACTAAATATTTAATAGCACTGAATTTGCGTAATTATGCTTTCGGAGTTTATTCTACCCTCATTGTACTAACAAAGGTTTTCTGCTCATTTTGTCCAGGAATGTATAAAAAAAATCTTCTTTCCTAACTAGTTTTCACTCTTTTATGGACCGTTTAGGATTAGTAATAATAATAATTATTATTATTTTATGCAGTGCCTTTCAGAAATGTCCACTCCTCTGGAACTTTTTCACACTTTGTCCAGTTGCAGCCTGTGATAGAGCAACACAGGGCAGAACATCACTGTGAAGCTCAAGGAAAACAATAATCTTATTTTGTAAATCCTTTCAAAATTAAAATCTGAAAAGTGTGGCGTGCACTTGTGTGTGAATGCCTCACATATAAGGATTCTTTAATCTAAGGTATTGCATTTCTTATCATGGTTTTGAATAGTAAGCCTCTGTTACTATTTCCAACAGCTTCTCTTCTAATATTGCTCTATATTTTGCTCCATTTAGCTTCTCATCAACTCTGAACTGCTTTTCTGTTCGAGCAGCATGATTCTTCCACCACCATGTCTCACAATGCAGATGATGTGTGGTGTTGTATTTTGATCGCACAGCATTTTGCCAGTTGGTCACAAAGTAGAAAACACAATAATCTATTTTAATAATACACAAATTAAGTTATTTTACAACTTAGTCGACTTCTGAAGGCAGTTGGATCAAATTTATTTATGTATATCAGAGTAAACAAGGTGTAATACAAATGCACGTTCCATTTTTCAAACTTTTATTTATTTAATTAAGTCTTGTAAAATTATGTTCCTTTTCTTCCACTACATAATTACACTGTTTTTCTTTGACTTAAAATACAATGTGTTCTTTCAGTTTTATGAATTTAGTCATACAATTTGCAAGGTTTAGATAATGACGCACAGAGTTCAATGTAAATTCAAACTTATATGAACTAATTTAATATACTACAAGATTGTTGTTACTTTATTATTTGGCCATATATTGCTTAAAACCTTTCGATCCTTGAAGCCTCCACTACACCAGGATGTTTATGTTGTCTTCATGTTTATATACAGTGCTTAAGTCTATATTACAAATCAAAATACCAATAAATACTCTTTATAGTTAAAGCTCATTAGATCAGATAGTTTTGTGTATTTTTTTTGTGAATTTTGGTTTATGTGTTCATATTGGCTCGATTCTTGTCTTCAGCAATACTCTTCTAGAAGTTAAAGCTTCTAGTTGATGGTAAGCCATTCAACTATTTGCCTTTTTTTCCTCAGCTGTCTACCTGAAAGTTGAGAAGAATCGGGACAACTACCACATCGCTTCCATCTCGGAGTCTTTTAAGCTTTCTGCCCGTCTCCCTGTGCGGAGTGGGCAAAGATGGCGGATCCCATTATGGACCTCTTCGAGGACACTCCCCTGTTCAACCTGGACTCCCTGCCGGACGACTCCTTCTCTCATGGTTCCTCGGACCCCGTGGAGGAAGCTCTGAAGCTGGCTTTGGGGCAGGCCGTCCCGACGGGCGAGCCGGAGTCCGCTCCCGACCTCGCCATCAACTCCAGCCTCGGCGTTCCTGTAGCAGCTCCGGTCATCCCGGACCCGGCCCCCGTTCACGTTCCCACCCAGCAGCCGGTGCCGGCGGCGCCCGTTCAGACTGTTTCTGTCGCCCAGGCTGTCGAGGCCGGAGCGGCGGCCTTCATGACCTCAGCCCCCGCCCCGGTTGAGACTGTGCCACAGATGCAGGCCCAGACTACCATCCCTGTTGTCAGCAACGCCAGCGGGGCGTCCAGTAGCACCGTCCTGCTGAGCTCACCTCTGACTGTTTCCAGCTCCCCAGCGACCACTGCCACCACGCAGCAGCTGACTCAGATAACTCACCAGCTCACGCCCCAGCAGTTAGCCGCCATCACGCAGCAAGCCGGCGGGAAAATCGTCATCCTCAAAGGTCCCCAGGGCCAGGCCCAGGTGCTCCAGGCCGTATCGGGAACCGCGGGTCAGGCCGGTGGAAAGGTCATCCGTCTGTTGTCTGGCACGCCGCTCAAGCCTGGCATGTCCATACTGCAGGGAGGGACAGTCTTAAATCAGGCCAGCCCAGGACAGACCCAGGTCAAGGTGGGGGCCGCAGGGGTGCAGCGCCTGCTGCAGTCCGCCAACGGGCCGGTCAAGCAGGTGTTGCTCACGTCCATGCCTCAGCAGACACAAGGTCAGACCGTTCAGGTGCAGATTCCAGCCCAGGCACAGATAGCTCAAGGTCAGACTACTGTCCAGGTTCAACATCAGCCTCAAACTGCTCAGATCCAGGTCCAGCCTCAGGGCCAGACCACCCAGATCCAGCTCCAACCCCAGGCCCAGACTGCCCAGATCCAGGTCCAGGCTCCGGGCCAGGCAGCTCAGCCCCAGGTCCAGACCCAGGGTCAGGTGCAGCTCCAGCCGGCCATGCAGGGCCAGACGCAGGTGAGCAATAACAGGGTGTCCTCTACACGGAACTGACCTTGGTGCATGACAAAATAAAAGCCGCCACACCTTCAGAATTAATTTTTAATATAAATGCTTAAAACAATGTGAAGCAAATGAGATTATCAGAGTTTATCGTGATACGTTAAAATTTGCCTTATGTTGAAAAACCAACACCGCCGCTTCCCGCTTGTCTGGCTGCGAAGCTGCTGTGTGCTGCGCTGCTTTCAGGAGTGAAGTAAAAGTAGAGACTACAGGCTGAGGTAGAGGGAGAGAAAATCTGAAAGGAAAGTTCCTAAAACAGGTCAAGTTGAACACATTGTTAGATCAAGAGTATGAAAATGACTCCAGGGTTAACAAATGTTGCATTTGAACGACAATAATGCAGTTAATTAATACAGCTTGACCTTCATGCATAATGTTTCAGACACCATTTGAACAGCACCACACATATCAATGTCGGCTAAGTTTTATTTTATACTCCACACCAAGAAAGTTGAGTTTAAAAAAGCGTGGTTCTAGATGTCCTTATTCTAATAATTGATCGATGTAAGTTTGTACTTTTTACATACATTTATGAATAATGTTTTTATTTTACCACATTATCCTGATTCTTCATTCAAAGTTGTTAATTTTTTTTAATGGTTTCCATCTGAGAATCCGCTGATTGTTGCAGGCTACTTAGAAAATAGTTTTTAGTTCAAAGTTAAGGATAAGATAATTTTTTTTCCGCATTTGAAAACTCTAGGAATCTTGAGGGATTACTGATCTGACTTATTTCGATGTCAAAAAAAAGCAGAAAAAACAACCCTTTACCGCTCTACAGATGTCTCATAATGACTACCCTCTCATCTGTTTGTTTCTAGGGTGGCGAAGCAAAGCGGATCACCCTGGTTCTCCAGCAGCCGTCCCAGTCCGGCTCCGCAGCCCCTGCGGGTCAAGCCGTTACCGCTCCACAGCAAGTGACACCCGGAGGTCAACAGCAGCCAACGCAGGCCCCTGCCAGGCTGGTTCTGGGTCAGCTTCCTAGCGGCAAACTGGTGCTCCAGGGAAGCCAGCTAGCGGCTCTGACCCAGGCCCGGGCTGCAGGTCAGGCCGGGGGGCAGCCCAAGGTCCTCACAATCCAGCTGCAAGTACAACAGCAGCCCAACCAACAAGGAGGAGTGAAGGTGAGATTTGAAGTGGGTAGACCTGGTATTAACATGCATCCTGGCTGAGCTGATTGGAAGTAGCACTTCAGATCAGTGTTCAGATTTTGCACACTTGACATTCTAATAACCATATAGCCAGTTTACGGACCTGCTGGTGTTTTCTGTAACGTCTTCATTTCATTCTGTGACTTTGATCCTGGTGTGGTCCAGCTCAGATTAGTCTGAGACACATTTGAGTTGAGTTATTTCAACTCCAGACTCTATCAGCTCACCTGTGAAGTTTTAGAAGATGTTTTATGAGACGGCAAATGGAGAATAAATAATGTGTGACCTTTCAAAGCTTTAGCTTCAGCACAGAAGAGATTTGAACATATAAAACCTCACAGCAATAAAACTGCACACTTGGCTAGCACACTGTTAGCTTAAGCGCACAGTTGATTTAATGAGTGCGAAATCTGAAAAAGAAAAAACTAAATATCACAGATTTCTTCAGACCACTTTTAGAGGCGTACTGAATGTCTATTATGAAGAATATTGTCCTAAATATGATGACCGAATGTGATTGAATAATTTTCTTTATGTGAAAGTGAAAGCATCTGCTCACTTTCTGTTTATATTGTTATAGAAATACAGTAATTAGTGCCAAAGTCAAATGGAAAAGTACTTCCTCTTTATAAAGAAAACAGTAAAGAAAAGTTATGCAACACTTATTCAAATGACATCTAAGCAATATTGTCTCAGATTGTTAAAGCTGCAGTATGTGATCCTTATAAAGAGCATGTTTTTTTTTTTTTTTACATATTTGTTAAAACTGTTGCTACGCTGTGACGAATAATATGTAAAAAAAACAAACAGAAAAAAAACAATCAAATATAGAGATCAGCTGCCTTCTTCCAGAACTGCAGAAATAAACTGTCAAAAGCAACCAATCAGAGCCAGGAGGAGGGACTTAGTCCTGTCAATCAGGCTAGTGCACTTGCTGATTACATTTCTCCAGATGGAGCTCAGTTTTTTTCACAGATTATCCGTCTCATATTAAACTGTCTTAGCAAATATGTTAAAAATTTTGATTATAAAAGTTACATGCTGCAGCTTTAATGTCTGAATATTACAGTAGCTTAAGTGTATTGAACATAAACAGACCTGTTTGTTGCTCAGCTGACACATGGGACACACTGAGTGGATTTTCATGTGAGTTTTTGGTGGACTTAGTAGGATGTGTGTTATTGCCAGGTCTGAAAGAGGCTTGAGTGAAGTCAAGTTTTTGTACAACACATTTCAGCAACAAGGCAGTTCAAAGAGCTTCTCTCCATAAAAACGTAATACACTAACCAATAATGAAGCAAGTATTGAACATTGCATTTTGTCAAAACCCATCATCAACGTGCAGCGGGGCCGAGCTGTCGTCTGCAGCGAGCGCCTACGTGAGCGCCGTTTAGTTGACTAATTCAAATCTTTTTCTCAGAATGACTAATGCATATGAAAAGATGTGGGATTGTGGTTTTACTGTATGGTTTTTGTAGTGAATCACATTCAGGTCACATCTGGGTACAATATTTAATGGATTCAAAACCAAATTCTGCATCGGTGGTTAGAGGAATCACTAAGTTCAAATTCTGTAAAAAAAATAAATAAATAAATATGTATATATATATATATATATATATATATATATATAGTTATATAGTATTGGGCACTGTTTGCTCTCCAATTATTAATTGGTTAATCCAAAAAATAGTAGCTTTATATATGATAGTTGTGTATTAAGTCAAGCAGGAAGGACTGAGACTTTCATATGTTGTTAAAATTATTTTTAGCTGTAGAAGCATCCATTCTTTATCAATGACTAAATGGTTGCTATGTTATGACATTTTAGGCAATAAAATGTTTACTTTCCATATTTATAAAATTAAATTAAATTATTCTTTAATCTTTTAATGCAATAAAATAATTCATTGTACAAAATAGGTTTAGGTGGTTAAATGAAAAAGTAGCAGACTGTGGAAATTTTTTATTTTTATTTGATTAATCGTCAGAATAAGCGATAGAATAATCTATCACTAAAATAATTGTTAGTTGCAGCCCTAAAAGTATTAAAAGATGTGAGTTTTGCATTTTAAAACCTAGCCAGTGTAGGAATAGTTTCTTTAATTTTAAAAAAAATGTTTTGCTTACTACTATATTTATGGTTAACCTTTCTCTCTGGCGTTGACAGTACCAGTTGGTATCGGGGGCTGGCGGCACCGGCAGCCCACAGGTGCTGCAGATTTCCCAGGGCCAAGGAGGGCAGCGGGTCGCCGTACCTCTCAAAATGCTGCTGCAGCCGCAGGTAGAGCCGCTCACTTGGATGTAAACGCACGCGTAAGAGCGTAATCGTGCAGAAAATAAAATTTCTTCTGTTTGTTTTTCTCTCCGTTCAGACGAGTTCGGCCACATCTTCTGGCGGCACCGTCTCCGTGGTGAAGGTCATCAACCCGTCGACGGCAGCCCCGCCCGCTACGACCACGACTCCAACGCAGGCCATCCGCATCACCAAGGCCCCCGGCGAGCCCGCGGCCGTCCGACGCGTGGAGATCCTCTGTAAGCAGGAGAAGGCCAATCGAATAGTGGCGGAGGCCATCGCTCGGGCCAAAGCACGCGGCGAGAAGAACCTGCCCAGAGTCCTGAATCAGGACGAGCTTCCGTCTACGCAGACCTCCCCGGAGATGGGAGGGACTCTGACTGTTGTCTCGACCGCTAAAAAGAAAAGCAGCGGCGGGGGGAGCAAAAAGAAGAGTCCCATATCCGGAGGACCGATACCCAAAATCATTGTGGGGACTGACAAGAAGGGCAAAGTGGTGAAAATATCAGGAGGGACGATTGCAGTGAGCGGCGGCGCAGTTATAGCTGGAGCCGGAAACAAAAGCAAGAGCAAGGCTAAAGCAAAGTAAGTGTTCTGCTCTGTGTAGTGACTTCACCATGTTAGCTCATATCTAAGTTTAACCTTTCTCTCTACTTTACCCCATCAGCACTATTACGCTGGTAGGAGCAAAGAAAAGAAAGAGAAACGCATCTTCAGACGTCTCTGATGGGGAGCTGAGCCCACCTTCACCTGCCGCACTGGAGGACGACATGATCATGGTAAAAAAAAAAAAAAAAACATACCTGGACACAAAGATTCAGCACTTCAGAGTTTTGATTGATTATTTTGATGATTAATAGAGCAATCAAATAAAAACGCTCTCCCATTCTGTCACAGCTACTTAAGCTAGTAAAATAAATATATGAAAGTGGAAAAGTTCCCATTTTACGATTCAGACATCACTTTCAGTCTCAAATTTGAAGTATGACAAAACAGATGAGGAATAAAACATTTCAATTTAATTAAAAAATTAAAAAACAAGCTTAAACTGAGGCATTAGTAAACCGTGCCTCTTGCATTACATTTCACTTTCAGCCCCAAACTTAAAGTGTGAAAAAACATATTTAAAAAAAATAGATATTTCTTGTCTGTGTTTTTTCATGTCATTACTCTTTTTTAACTAACAATTCCCTGGTCTGGCCAGAAGAGGCGCTCCAACCGTGTGGTGAAGAGGAAGAAGTACACGGAGGACTTGGATATTAAGATAACAGACGACGAGGACGAGCAGGAAGACGTGGACGTTACCACGACGGCAGCCGCCGTGGCCTCCATCAGCGGAGGGGCGGCAGCTCAGCTGAAACAGGAAGTGGAGCTCGACGGCAACGGACAGCCCAGCATGCAGTTTTTTGTGGTGAGTTGCTGAAACGAGAAATTGTTTTGGATCAATAATGGCTGTTTTTTGTTTTTTGTTTTTTTAACATATTTATATCTATTTCAGATTTGATTTTGTTTAAAACTCTTTTTTCTTTTTTTCTTTTTTTTTTAGGAGAATCCAAGTGAGGAAGATGCCGCCATCGTAGACAAAGTCTTGTCAATGAGGATAACCAAGAAAGAGGTTTTTTGTTTGTTTAAATCACAAACACTTTCTCTTGCGATTTGACTCTTTTCTAAATGTGTTTTCTTCTTTTTAAGGTTTCCCCGGGCCAGTATACGAATGCTGAGGAGTTCTTTGTTAAATACAAAAACTAGTAAGTCTCGTTCATATTAGTCACTGTAACGAGTGTGAAGCATCGCCGTGAAACCTCCCCGTCTCGTTCTCAGTTCATACCTGCACTGTGAGTGGGCCACGCTGGAGCAGCTGGAGAAAGACAAGAGGATCCATCAAAAGATCAAGAGATTCAAGACCAAACACGCTCAGATGAGGCATTTGTTCCAGGAGGTCAGCTCCTTCTGGCCGACTCCCGCCCATTCCCACGGAGGAAGGACGTCGGCGAACTGAACTGTATTTGTGGTTCTCTGCAGGACGAGGAGTCTTTCAACCCAGACTATGTGGAGGTGGACAGGATCCTCGACGTGTCCCACAGCGTGGACAAAGACAACGGCGAGGTTGGTGACAGGTCACTTGGTTCACAATGAGACCTAAGACTTTTCTACTTCTCTGCTTAGTTTAAGTTAATATTGTCTGATTTGCTCCAGCCCGTCATCTACTACCTGGTGAAGTGGTGCTCTCTGCCCTACGAAGACGCTACCTGGGAGCTGAAGGAAGACGTTGACGAGGGGAAAGTTGAAGAGTTCGGCAAAATCCAAAACAGACAGCCTCGCCTGAAGAGATCGGTGAGTCGTTTCTGGTTCAAAGCATATTTTAAACTTATCCAGACCAAGCGTAATGTTTATGCTGGGGAAGGATTAGAACATTTTGATAAATGATAAAGCGGAGAATTCGAGTTGTTGTCTGTAAGTTGTGGAAAATGCATACAAGCGACTCTAAAGGATTACAGTGTAGGAAATCCTGTTGATTTTATTTGCTATTTTTGTTCAGAATCTTCTAGTTAATGATGAAATGTTTCAATAAATTACTTTATTAATCAACTGCAGGCTTTTCTCCATTCATAAATTGTTCAATAATTCCTGATTTTTTTTCTATTCAATTGTTGAAATCTTGTCTATTACAAGAGCAGCTGTTTGTTGGACATTAAATGTGTTGCTCTTTAATTTCAAATAGATAAAAAACAGATTTAAAAAGAGACAGTTTAGTGAAACATTTAATATTCAGCTTTTTAAGCTCCTGTTAGAGGTTCTGTTCATTGCTGTCATTGTCTATAAAAGGAGCCATTTTCTTTTCCTCCTTTTTCTAAAGCTTCTTAAGCGAACTCAAAATGTGCTTCAATGTGGGTTTGTATACTTTGGTTTGTAGTTTGACTAAACAGTCTGTTTACTGTTAAATATTTATTATACTTTGTAAAAAGTTGTTAAATGTGTTCAGAAATTGTTTTCTTTAAAGGCTCAATTATTACAGTGGGAAAAAAGTAAAAGAAATGTAACAATTTTAGAAAAACTATGCTATAAAAAACTATTAACATTATTTTTGCTCTATCACAAAGAGTGCACCAGCGATTGCAGTTTTCCAGCAATCACTGATATTTTAAAAAACCTGGCTTTCCCACTTTGATTCAGCCGATATGAATTTTTTTGTTTAGTTTTTTTGTTTTTGCCTTAAAAGTCTCTAAGTTGGCAATCGTGGATCTGCTGTCACCAACTGTGCAGACTTTACATCGCGGGCGGTTCGGTCAGTCAACCACCTCTCTTGTAATAATTGTGGACAGCTGATCGACTTGTTCCTTACTCTCTCCTCAGGCGCGGCCTCCTGCCAGCTCATGGAAAAAGTTAGAGGAAACCCGTGAGTACAAGAACGGCAACACACTCAGAGAGTATCAGCTGGAAGGAGTCAACTGGCTTCTCTTCAACTGGTACAACAGGTAACCATCAAAACGCATTCATGTGTTAGTCGCTGCCATCTTTACTGGCGTTTCGCTCCAGTCCTCCATCTTTTATTCACACTCCCCTGTTGTCCGGCGTCTTTCAGGCAGAACTGCATCCTGGCAGACGAGATGGGCCTGGGGAAGACCATCCAGTCCATCACGCTGCTGTCCGAGGTGTACGCCGCCGGAGTTCAAGGCCCCTTCCTGGTCATCGCTCCGCTCTCCACCATCACCAACTGGGAGAGGGAGTTCTCCACCTGGACCGACATGAACGCCATTGTGTACCACGGGAGCCTCGCCAGCCGGCAGATGATCCAGCAGTATGAGATGTACTGCAAAGACAACAAGGTGAAAAACGCACAATAACTGATTACAGAGGAGCTGGGCGATAATTAGATTTTATTGATCAATTGAATTGATTTTGAGAAAATCTGGATTTATTTTGTCACTGATTTGGACTACTTGGGTTTCCATAGTTCAGAGTGACATCAGTGCACCCAGAGCCGCCATTTTGTTTGACGAGCTTGTTCTGCAGCTCCTGTTTATTTTTTTAGTTATGAGAATTATCACAATATTACCAGAAAAAGTTGTAATTTTATAAGAAGTAAAAAATACCAAAGAAATGGGAAATGTTATGACTTATACTTAGTTGTATAATGAAACACTTAAATATTTTTGAAACGATCGTGCAGACAAGTCAATTTGAAGACAAGACTTCACGAACTGAGTCATCAGATTCTGATAACTAAAAACTTTTTTTCTCATTAAAACTTTTTTTCAGGTAAAATTCGGTCATTTATCCTAATATTACGACTTTATTAGGATAAATGACCGAATTTTACCTGGGGAATTAAACCAACATTCTTGTAGCCTGGCCCTAGTTCTCCATCCCACCACTCGCAGAAGGGATTCCACTTTTTGAAAATGTTTTCCGCAATTTCTTTTTTAGAAAAGAAAGCAAATAAGAAAAGCAATTAAAATCAGAAAAACTGAATTTTATTTTTAAGCCATACCACTCGGCTCTCAGCATGACTGTGGCTCATCCTTAATCAAACCAAAACTCCGTTTCTGTTTCCAGGGACATTTAATCCCAGGCGCGTACAAGTTTGACGCCCTCATCACGACCTTCGAGATGGTTCTGTCGGACTGCCCGGAGCTGAGGGAGATCTCATGGCGCTGCGTCATCATCGATGAGGCTCACCGGCTGAAAAACCGAAACTGCAAACTTTTGGACAGCTTGAAGATGCTCGACCTGGTGAGAATCAAGGAATCAAGACGATGAAATATGCAATTCTTTTTTTTTTTTTCTTCTTCCTTCAGCTTAACGTTTTGATGGATTCCCTCAGGAACATAAGGTGCTGTTGACCGGCACGCCTCTTCAGAACACCGTGGAGGAGCTTTTCAGCCTCCTCCACTTCCTGGAGCCAGCTCAGTTCCCGTCTGAGATCGAATTCCTCCGAGAGTTCGGAGACCTCAAAACTGAGGAGCAGGTGGGAAACGCATAAATCTGGCAATTCATTGCCACTTTGTCTGCAGCTCCACATGGAGCTGATTGCAATTTTGCAAAACTGTCTTTTTAATAGGTTCAGAAACTGCAGTCCATTTTAAAACCTATGATGTTGCGGAGACTCAAAGAAGACGTGGAGAAGAACTTGGCACCCAAGCAGGAGACCATTATTGAGGTCAGCTTGTCTTTTTTTATTACAATTGTCCATCAAACTATTTTTTAAAACTTTTAAATTAAGTTTTAATTGCATAATGTCAGATGAATTTCTGTGCACTATAAATTAAATTACAGTGCCTTTCAAAATTAAGTCGACACCCAGAACCTTTTCACAATTTTATAACTACAAATTTTAATAAATTTGATTAGGATTTGTTATTTTGACATTTTCCACATTCACTTACATAGAGAAGTTACATGAACAATTCGCATCCAACACTTTATAAAGTAAAATGAAATAAAAACACTTTGTTTGGGAGCTATTCTTCTAATAGTCCTTTTGTTTTATCCAGTTTAAGTTCTGTTTTAGTTTTTTTCATCACTGACTGTGTGATGAAAAAAGGACAAATGGACAAATAGTGTCCATTTGTGTTTTTGATTGAAATTTTAAATGACAAACTTAAAGTAAAGCCTGATTACATAACAGAAGCAAAATGATTCATAGTTTTAGAAAATATTTACAAATAAAAATGTGAAAGCGAAGGGGGGCAGACGTCTTTATTAATATAAAATCATATAAAACCCAGTACAGCTAAGAAGTGTTGGATTATAAAACAATATCACAAACTTTTAGGAGTCTATGAATTGACCCGAACCACACAAGCAGAGCATCAGAGCCAATCCAAAGAATGTCGAGGTGGTTGCTTTTGTGAAAGATAACTGGGGAAATTAAAACCCCGTTTCCTCCCAGGTTGAGTTGACTGATATCCAGAAGAAGTACTACCGGGCCATTCTGGAGAGGAACTTCAGCTTCCTGAGTTTAGGAGCCAACAGCAACAGCAACGTCCCCAACCTGCTCAACACGATGATGGAGCTCCGAAAGTGCTGCAACCACCCCTACCTCATTAACGGTACTGCGCCATCATCTTTAGCGCGCTCCGTTTCTTTTAGTGTCGACTACGTTTTATTTTTTTAACTGAGACCTGGGGTCCTGTTCAGGTGCCGAAGAGAAGATCGTGGTGGAGTTGCGGGGGAAGTACGACCCCCTGGCCCCCGACTTTCATTTGCAGGCCCTAATTCGGTCCGCCGGCAAACTGGTGCTACTTGATAAACTGCTGCCTCGGCTGAAGGCCGGCGGCCACAAAGTGCTCATCTTCTCCCAGATGGTGCGCTGCTTAGACATTCTGGAGGACTACCTCATCAACAAGAGGTATGCTTGTTTTGTTCAACTTGCTAATATTGTGTTGAAAATTTCACTAAACCACACAGTATCAAAAATAACACATACTCGGGTAGAGCATGTGTTTTGTAGCCATCAATAGGTTTTTTTTTTGTGTGGATATTTCATGCTTTTTAAACAGATTCAATTAGGACTGAAACAATCTGATTCATCATGATCAATTGATTATTGAGATGATTGTCAACTAATTTAGTAATCAATTAATAGTGTTAACTGCAGTATACAGACAAAAAAAGCATTTCTTTCAAGAATAACACACTGAGAGCTGTGATTATGTCAAAGCTGTACAAAAATATAATACAATTTGCATCTAAGATGTAAAAATATCCTTTGTCTTTAAATATGTTCTGTCCAGAACCAGAATTTTACTGGGTTCAGATTCTGTAAAAAAGCACCTTTTGCTATCCAATCACCCACAGTTGCACAAAAAGTGGTCAATAGATTATAGATTGATTGAGATAATTGAAAACTAATGAGGTAGTAGATTAATTGTTGATTGGATTGAAGACTAAAAAAGATCACTTGATGAAAGAACAACATACTCACTGCAGTATGTCAAAACTATACAAAAAACACATACATTTTTGCCTTAAAGGTATACACATAAAAAACATTTATTCCATAAATATGAGGCAGAGTTTTAACTAAACCTGGTTTAAACTCTGTAAAAAAATTACCTTATTAATCAAATTTTACTACATTATACTAAGACTAAATCAAGCAGAAAGCACTAAGCTTTTCAAATATCGATATTAGAAACATCATTGTATCAAAACACTGATCAAGCATACACTGAAGGAATGCTGTGGTGTTGAATTTTAGGCAATAAAGTGTTTATTTTCTTATTTCAAAAAACAGTCAAATTGTTTGCATCAGCCATTTGTGTCCAAGTTTCATCCAGTTCCCTCCCTTACGCAGATACCTTTACGAGAGAATTGATGGAAGGGTTCGTGGGAACCTGCGACAGGCAGCCATCGATCGGTTCAGCAAGCCGGATTCGGATCGCTTCGTCTTCCTCCTTTGTACCCGTGCTGGCGGTCTGGGTATTAACCTGACCGCTGCCGACACCTGTGTCATATTTGACTCTGACTGGAACCCTCAAAACGACCTGCAGGTGCGACGTCCTGTCACGGTCGTGTTTTGTATTTTGCGGTCATAACCGCTCCGAGTTGTGGCGGCAAACGTTCTGCGTCTCTTCTGTCCAGGCCCAAGCAAGATGCCATCGTATCGGCCAGTCGAAGGCTGTCAAGGTCTACCGCCTCATCACCAGGAACTCCTACGAGAGGGAAATGCTGGACAAGGCGAGTCTGAAACTCGGTCTGGACCGTGCCGTTCTACAAAGCATGAGTGGCAACAAGGACAGCAACGTCAACGGGGTAAGGAGAAACCCGTAGCACCCGAGTTCGAGCAGAAAAAAAATCTCTCGTCCCGTTTGTATCAGTTGTATAAATGGCTTTACGTCTCGTACGACAGCTCCAGCAGTTCTCCAAGAAGGAAATCGAAGACCTTTTGAGGAAAGGAGCTTACGCCGCCATCATGGATGAAAACGACGAAGGCAGTCGGTTCTGCGAGGAAGACATCGACCAGATCCTTCAGCGGCGAGCCACCACAATTACTATCGAGAGCGAAGGCAAAGGTTCTACGTTCTCCAAAGCCAGCTTCGTCGCATCCGAGAACCGCACCGACATCGCCCTGGACGACCCCGAGTTCTGGCAGAAGTGGGCCAAGAAAGCCGACATCGACATGGATTCCATCAATCAGAAGGTAAACGCAGCAGACATGCTCTGGTCAAGTTTTTACAGATTTAAATGTGTAGGTTTTGTAAAACTTTAATCTGTGTTCAAACATTTTTTAGAACATAGAAGAAGATCTAGGAAAATCATTCAGAATGTTTTTCTGGCTGCATGTTGTAATTGGACATTAATCATTTATATTTCAGGATAGAAATATAAATGACACGTTGGTTCAGTGGTTAGCAGTGTTGTTCCTGCAGGGTGTCTTAAAAAGCCTTAAATTAATGTGTCCAAAATGAAGGGCATAAAATGTCTTGAATTCATTTTAAAAATTAAGTTGGCCTTTAATATATTAATCGCATGTGTTAAATTTTTTTCTTTACAGGACAATCTCGTAAATTAATGTATTTTCTGTCAGGCAAAAGTTTGAGTCGCACTCATCTTCATTGCATTCTGCTACTCATGATGGTTGAGGCTGCCGATAACTCACTGCTAACATACCCTTGCTAACTAGCTAGCTTTTTTTTCCCATCTGTTATGGCTTAATGAAAATGTATTGCCAGTTGACTAGATGAAATTTGTACATTTCTGTCGTGATGCAGGTCTTAAATTCCATTTACAGTAGTCTTAAAAAGTCTTAAATCTGAATTGGTCAAACCTGCAGAAGCCCTCCCTGTTCCTGGACTCAAATCTCGGCCTGCATTTGTTTGAATAGGGCTAATAAATGTATTGACTTTGTATTGCATGGAATAGCTAACTAAGTTTGTCGTTTCTTGCACAGAACACGCTTGTGATCGACACTCCCAGGATCCGGAAGCAGACGCGCCAGTTCTCCAGTTTGCGAGGCGAAGGAGGAGACCTGTCTGATTTGGACAGCGATGACGAGTATCCGCCTGCCAATTCAAGACACTCCAGATCTTCCCGCCGCTCCGACCGCCACAGCGGGGGAGGTTACGGCCGTACCGACTGTTTCCGGGTGGAGAAACACCTCCTTGTCTATGGGTATGAAAATATTTGAGGCGCACCATGACTTTATCAAGCTTTGTTTGTGTTTTCACATTGTCTTTTTTTTTTTTTTACAACCTTTTCGACCGGTTCAGATGGGGCCGCTGGAGGGACATCTTGGCCCACGCCAGATGTAAACGACGTCTGAGTGAACGTGACGTAGAAACCATCTGCCGTGTCATCCTGGTGTTTTGTCTAATGCACTATCGTGGCGACGAGAACATAAAGAGTTTCATCTGGGAGCTCATAACGCCACCGGAGAACGGCAGGGAACCCCAAACACTACTAAACCACTCTGGTAGGAAGCTGCACGTTTATCAATATGTAAAAATAAATGTAAATAACATTTCTCCCCCACACAAAATATTCCTACTTACATTTAATTTTCCTGCTTTAGGCCTTTCCATCCCCGTTCCAAGAGGCAGGAAAGGTAAGAGGGTCAAGGCTCAGAGCACGTTCGACGTTCAGAAGGTGGAGTGGATCCGCAAGTACAACCCTGACACCCTGCTGCTCGATGACAGCTACCGCAAACACCTGAAGCACCAGTGCAACAAGTTGGTGAAACTTTTCCAGAACTAAATTCACGTTACAGTGGCTCGCAAAAGTTTTCTCACCCCTTGAACTTAATCACATTCGGATGACATTACACCCACAAGCTATTTATGTGGCAGATTAACACAAGCTCAGTGAGCAGTTGTGCAAATAATCAGTTTTATAGATTAATCAAATTCTCGGTATTTGAGAATTTAATTTTTGGAAAATCAGTTTTTTGTTGTTTTATTCAACAATGCATTTCTTGTGTTTCCAGAGTGACGTTAACACACTGAAGAACTACCGTCTTACAGAATTTGGTGTTAAAAAAAATCAGAAATTTTATCGTTTATTGCCCAGTTCTACGTTTTATAGATATGCACCATTTTGTGTTTGCTCTTTAAATTAAATCCCAGTAAAGTCCCATAACATTTGTGGTTGTGCAGTGACAACAGATAAGTCGAGGGATATAAATACATCAAAGCTCTGCCTATGCAAATTTTCCTGGTTGAACATTAACTCCTCCCCTCTCCTTTCTCAGAGTGCTGCTCAGGGTCCGTATGCTCTACTACCTGAAGCAGGAGGTCATAGGTGAACATGCAGAGTCTGTCCTGAAGGGGGCTGACATTAGGTAACAAATGTAGTGAAGTGCAAGCAAATTTCATCACCAGAGTTCACTGAGATCCAGCTTATGAAGCAAGTTGGATGGTTTTTCAGGGATGTCGACATCTGGATGCCAGAGATGGAGCAGCAGGAGGTGCCTGCAGCTTGGTGGGACTCTGACGCCGACCGCTCGCTGCTCGCTGGCGTCTTCAAACATGGTAGGTCCAGCTAAAGCTGTTCTGCTTTTCACGTCCAGGTTCAGGGTGTCTGCGCGTCCTTAAAAAGTCTTAAATTTGTGTCTGAAATGAATGCCTTAGATTGTGTTAAATTCTTTTAAAAAAGAAAGAAAGAGCCAAGTAATTCAGGTTTTTTTCTCATGGGATCTTCCTGTTGAGCAAAAGTTTGGCTGTAACTATATGTAGTGTTGGAAGCATGAAGCCAGGTTCACAGTTTATGCTAGTCTTGATTGTAATGCAGCAAGTTCTGCCAACCATCCTCTAGATTTATAGGTATTTTTGGCTTTATCATTCAAGGTGGCGTTAAAAACTCTTCAATTTGTCTTGATGAAACCTGCAGATACCCTGAGGACGGTTTAGTTTGTGCCTTGGTGTTCTGATGAGCTGCTCCACTTTTCACATTTGAGGAACTTGCATTCTATTCAATATTTTTTTGTTTTTTCCAGTTGAACAGCCTTGGTTTTTATCCCCGTTTCCAGGTTATGAGATGTACACTACCATGCGGGCCGATCCCTGCCTCTGCTTCGTGGAGAGAGTCGGTCGGCCAGACGACAAGGCCATCGATGCTGAGCAGCACACTGGAGACGCCGAGCTTGGAGACGAGTAAGTTGTGTTTTTTTATCATAACATCAGTGCTCATGTTGGGAAGAACTGCTTGGATTGTGGTAGATATTAGCTGATTTAACTATTTGTTTCATATATTCACAGTTATCTTGCCCCAACAAAATTGTATTTTTCTGAAATCTTTCCCACAATAAAAAGCAGTAGAAGATATTGTTACACTGGTCCTTAAATGCTCTGCCTGGTGTCATCGCCTTGACGTTAGCTGTAGTTCACAGCATTTACCGGATGATTTGCAGTTTGTCGGAAAATAGGGATTTTAATTTGAATTGCAGGTTCGAATAAATGTTTGTTTTCCAAAATTTCTTTGATTCTTTGTCACAATAAAGAAAGAAAGCAGATATTTAAGCTGCTATAATTGGTGTACAGGTCTTTAAATTAAGATTGCATAAAAATAATCCAACAACCAGCAAATCATTCGTCAACCCATTTAATTTTTAGTTTATTCTTTTATCTAGCAATCTTTAGAGTGTGGTTTGTTTGGAGTTTTGTATTTCATAAACTGTTACTCTTTTTCTGAACACCTTTTTCTCTCTCTTTGCTTGACCGTGTCGCGTTTGTTACGCTCAGTGGCGACTTTGACAAGTTCTCAGAGGATCCAGAGTTCAAGCCAGCATCTAGACTCTCCAAAGATCTTTTTGATGAGGTACCGATCGCAGCAACAACTTTGGAGTTTTGTAGCACCGTTCTAGAGCAGGAAGCTTTGGAGCTCAGCGGTTCACTCATCAGTCTTCGCTCGACGTTTCCTTGCAGCCTGACTCTATGAACGTGGATGACGAGATCTCAGTGGAGGACAAGTCGGTGCCGATGGTCACGGAAAGCGCAGCCGTCCAGAGCGGCGTGTGCGAGTGGCCCTCGAGCTCTTCGCTGACGGCGCGGCTGAGGCGGCTGATCACGGCGTACCAACGCAGCTACAGACAGGAGCAGCTGAAGATGGAAGCCGAGGCCAAAGGGGACCGCCGGCGCAGGCGCTGCGAACAGGCCAGCAAACTGAAGGAAATCGCACGGCAGGAGCGACAGCAACGGTAAACCATGATTATTTGTTTGAGTTGCCACATCAATTCATTTCTTTAACAATTCTGTTTTCATTCTGGAACGAACGGTTTAGTTTAGAGTGTTTTTTATTCACGCTTTCTGTGCAGGTGGACGCGGAGAGAAGAGAGCGACTTCTACCGCGTGGTCTCCACGTTTGGAGTGGAGAAGATCAAGAAGGAGCCGGGTGTCTCGGAGGAGGGGGATGCGGAGTTCGAGTGGACCCGTTTCCGAACTTTTGCCCGTCTGGATAAAAAAACCGACGAGAGCCTCAGCCGATACTTCCGTTCATTTGTCGCGATGTGCCGGAGGGTGTGCCACCTCCCCCAAGGCCGTGGTGAAGGTAGCTGCTGTTTATTTTGAGATTTCTATTTCATCCCTTTACAGTCTGAATGTTATTTTTCATTCGAGATTCACCAACTTGGCTTAATTCTGTTCTAACAAAAATTAATTTATCATTTATCTGATTTTTATCTACTTAAAATGATGGCATTTTATAGATCCAAAATGTTAGATCTATTTTAGAGTGTCGTCACTCTAAAATAGAGCTTCTTTATATCTGATGGTGCGGTAAACCCAGTTTGACTGGGGACCAATGCAACATTAGTTGCAATTCCAGCTGGTGCGGTTCATTTTCACACTGTGTCAAACGATCCAAACTCTTTGAACCTCCTGTTCAGCCCCTTCACCAAGGACTACTGAATGAAACGAAACAAAATCCTCTGGAGAAGACACAAAGCAGAGCTTCCTTCTACTTCAAATGTAAACAAAAATGGCGTCAGATTTTAGCAGTCGTAAGGTTTTACTTTTGTTCTGGTAAAAGATCACTATCAATTTCTCCCACTAACGCTGGACTTGTGCATTTGTTTTGATTCCATTTACCCAGAATGCACTGCGCTATAGTTCACTTCCTGCTTTTGGAGCGGTCTCTGGTCCACTTGTATTCAAACCGCACCAGAGTTCACTTCAACTGAAGTGGACCAGAGGTTTTTTTTTTGCGTTCCCCCAAATCAACCGAACGATCCACGCAAGTAAACTAGAGTTTGTTAAGGCGGACTAAACAGTGCTGAAGTCGACGCGCTCAAAGTTGAAGGCATCTAAGGAATAAAAAAAAAATCTATTATTGCTGTTTGATAATTACAAGGGAAAATGGGTCTTCTGATTGGTGGATCTCTAGTTTGCACTACAACGTAAAGTTTGTCCTGCAATAACAGAATACCTGTTTTTGTCCGCAGATCCGTCAGAGGTGACTCAGACTGTGGCTCCCATCACAGAGGAGCGAGCCTCCCGCACGCTGTACCGCATCAGCCTCCTGCGGCGCCTCCGCGAGCGCGTCCTGCCCCACCCCTCCCTGGAGGAGCGCCTTCTTCTGGCGCCGCGCAGCGCCGAGCTGCCCGCCTGGTGGAGCCTGCCGGACCACGACCGGCAGCTGATGCTCGGCGCCTCGCTCCACGGGGTCAGCCGCACCGAGCTCTCCATCTTCTCAGACCCACAGTTCACCTTCAGCTCCGCTCGCGACGAGTTCATCCAGAACCAGCAGGCTCTGCCGCCGCTTCCACCTCCCCCTCCTCCTCCACCGCCTCTGCCCATCATGACGCTCAGCCAGTCCAAGTCTGAGATGGACTTAGCCGGAGCGAAGGGGGAAGGTGCTGACGAGAGCGCCCGACTGTTTGGGGGGAGAATCGGCAGCGACCTGCAGAGCACGCCCTTGGGTCACCATGGCGGCAAAGCGCAAGGTCCGGACTGGAGCTTCAAAAGCAGCAGGGAAAGAACGGAAAAAACCGGAAGGAAAGGCGAAGGAGGGTCCGATTCGGATTCAGACTCTGACTCGGGCTCGTCGTCCTCGGAGCGCTCCGGTAGCAGCGACGACAGCGGAGACAGTGACGAGGAAGTAGAAGGAGGTGAGTCCATAGATGGGATAAAATGAAAACACCCGGAAGTAGAACCAAAGACTTCACATTCGCACTGTTCTCACTTTTTAGGCGGCATGAAGGTGGGAGACGTGGATGAAGAAAACAGTTTACTCTCCATGATTCCAACTCAAGATAGCATACTTCCACCTGAGCCGATCAGAGTCGACTGGCCTAAGGTACCTAAAAAAGAAAAACTATTTGTCTACAGCGGATCAAAAGTCTACCAATAGCTTCTTCAGACTAACGCCACACGTTCTGTTTCCTGTTTCAGGACCGCGTGCTGATCAACCGCCTGGACAACTTGTGTCACCTGGTGCTGTCGGGTCAGTGGCCCTCGGGGCGGCGCTACATCCCCGAAGCCCAGCTCAACCCGAGCTCCGAGCTGGTGGGCGAGGACATGGCGTACACCCGGGTCATCCGGAAACCCAGCAGCGCACCGATCGGCATCGGGGCGGAGGGAGAGGACGGAGAGTTCACTGTGAAACTCCTCAAGGTGACATGATACGGGAAGACCAGCCTGGTGTTGGACATCCGCTGCTTTCCTTATGGTGGGTAGCGATTTGGATCTGTAACTTTGACGCCTCTCTGTCGTCCTTTCAGGAGGAGGGTCTGAAGCTGACGTTCTCCAAGCAGGCTCTGCTGCCCAACGGGTCAGGGGGAGAGAGCAGCGGGCGCAAGAAACGCAAAGACCAAGAGGTATGACTTCATGGTTTATTCTCCTGTTCTGTTGGTCCGTTTTGTTTTTTGTTTTTAACAGTACGGTGTTACAAGCTCTTTATATTCAGTCATTTTGTTTAGTCCATTTTAATCGAGATCCAGTAAGTTTGTATAGAAAGTCCGGTCCGTTTGTAGAGGTGTGAATCGAACTCTGATGTGTACCAAGAAAACGAACTCTGGTCCACCTAAAAGCCCAGGTCTCAGTATTAGGGAAGTGAACTGTGGTGTGGTTTGAATGCAAATGGAGCAGGAAGTTTATGATAGCATAGGGCATTCTGGGTAAAAATACAACCAAAACAAACATGCGTCTATCGCTTGTGGTCTTCCTTCAAAGATAAATGAGAAGTCTTACAACCACTGCTCTATTATTTATTTATTTTTTTAACATTTCGTGAAGAAGCAAGTTGCGTTCATGTCTTCTTCTGAGATTTTCATGTTGTTTCCTTCAGTGGTTCTTGGTGCAGCGCCCCCCCCAGGCGAGCAGGGGAACAGGTTTTTCAAAGGGTTTGGTTTGTTTGGCTCAGTGCGGTGTGAAGGTAAAACCGCAGCAGCTGAAAATGTAACAGATTTTGCAATAGTCGAGTCTACCGGACTATGAGCTGTGAAAACACTCCAACTTATATTTTAACTGAGTGTCCTTAAAGCAAACACCAAACTGACCGACCTGAATGATCTCTTTCAGCTATCAGAGCTAGACGGCCTCCATGACCCGCTGGAGCGTGCTCCTCGACGGAGGGACCCCCCCACGTGGCTGAAAGAGAATCCAGATTATGAGGTGGAAGGAGACATGCTGGAGGTGAAGTCCTGGCATCAAGAATCAAAAAAGTGTTGTTTTGTGTGGCAACCCGGGCTTCGGGCATGAATTTCAACACTTCCAGGGCGATAATTCAGGTTTGTGTTTTGTGAACCAGCTGCTGGTGAACAGGAGCAAGAGGAAGAGGAGGAGGCGAGCGAATAAACCCCTTACAGGCACAGAGAAGGTCAAGGTCATCAACATGCTGACGGGAAAGAAGGTGACGCCGTTTTCTTCTTCCCTCTATGTTCCCGTTTGTCCCTTTGACCCCTTCTTCCTTCATTCTGTCATTTTTCTTTGCGTCTCTTTGTTTCATTCTTTCTCTTTCTTTTAACAGTCTTTTTCTCTTATTTTTTTATCGTTTATATTTTCTTGTCTGTCATTTTGTCTTTTTCTTCCTTTGTCTTGTTTTTTGTCTTTTCCTTTGACTTTCCACTTTTTTCTTTCTTTTTCTTCTCATCTTTCGTTTTCTCTTCCATTGTGTCATTTTCGTTCCTTTTTATCCTCTTTCTTTTCTCTCTTTTTTTATTTCTGTCATTTTCTTTCAGTTTCTTTTTGTCTAGTTATTTCTTGTTCTTGTATTTCTCTTTTTGTCTTTATGAAATTCTTTTTTGGCTGTTTCTCTTTTTTGTCTTTTGTCTCCCTGTCTGTTTTGTCTTTATCTTTCTTTCTTTTTTATTGTTTCTTTCCTTCCATCATTCCTTTCTTGTGTAATTATTTTCAGTCATGTGTTCTTCCTTAACTCCACGGTTCTAGATGTGAATCCTGTTCATCATAGAAACATCTGATGAACTTCAGTGTTTTCCATTTAAAAATGACACCTGCGGCCTGAGAGTTCTGGAAAAGTCAGGAAGTTTTATGTCGGAGCTGAACCAGCTGACATTCCAACGTTTCTCTGTAGGTTGGAGCTGCTTTCTGTCCGATGCTGCAGGATCTGAAGGAGTATCTGGAAGAGAATCCTAACATCGCCGTTGCACCCGAGTGGTCTGAGACGGTTCAGAAATCAGTACGCTAGATATTTTATTCTTCATGCTGTAAAAAAATTACCTTTAACAGTTTTTTGTTTTTTTTGTCAGCTTCTTTACATCTTAGACGGATGTTTTTATTTTTATTCTTCTTCCCGCAGGGTTTGCTGCCTGAATCCCTCTTCCACCGCCTGCTGACGGAGCACTCCGAGATCCCGAAGAAAAGCCACCGGCGGCGTCACCACCACCATCACCACCACCACCACCATCACCATTGCCACACTCCCGAGCCCACGCCCGAAGACCCCACCCTGGACGGCGTAGAAGAAGAGACTCTGGTTTCGGACGGAGCCTACATGATGGACGAGGAGGACCTGGAGACGTCCCACCACTTCCTCACCAGCCCGGACTTTGACGTCAAAATGGAGGGCGGCGACAGCCTCTCCCAAGGCGACTACGACAGCTCGGATCAAGAGGCGCTGCTGGATGATGTCATCATGGCGCAGAAGGACTCCGACTCTTCATCAAGCTCAGACGACTGACTGGACTGACTCGTCTCCCGCGCCCCCACCATTCAAAATGAAATCATGCTATTCCGAGATCTTTTTTTTTTTTTTTTTTCAACATGTAACAAATGAATTGTTTTTTTTTTTTTCTTTTTTTTTTTTCCTACCTTTATTCTTTTGTTTTATTTAGGATTGTTTCTGTGTAAGGAGCAAAGTGTGCGTCCATCAGTTTTTTTTTCCTACCGCGGTCATGCTGCACCAAGCTCCTCTCGATCTTCCTCGTGACGTCTCTCTCGTCGTTTTTATTTCCTTCTCTTCCATCCAAACCCATGAATTCCCATCACATTCCCAAACGTGACCAAACGGGGACCCTCGCTGTATAGACACACTTTTCATATCTTTAAAAAAGAAAAAAAAAACTCAAAGCTGGTCCTCGAACGCTACATGAAACTGGATACATTTACTGAGCAGAACAGATCCCTCAATCCCCTCCTACCCCCGATCTCCTTTTCCAGAGGAGCCTGTGAACTATTGGAGGTGGGGGGGGGGGTCCAGTGTGTGGATATACTGTTAATGTTTTCACTCTGTGGGAAGGGCTTGTGGGGAGGGAGGGAGAGGGGAAAATGGCGTTATTAGTTACTGAAGCAGTGCGAGGAGGATGGGTGTATTGTATAATGTAGAGCTCGTCAGTTGTGTACTATGGTGCAAAGATGACGGCTGTGAGGTATTATTCTTGTTTTATGATCTGACTGTATCTGTGATATGAATAACAGCAATCTACAGTGGTAAAAACCCCTCTTGTGTGCATCGTCTTTTTGACACGAAAGGAGAACTTCAACTGGTTACAATAATTTCAACACATTGGAACAACTCTCTATTTAAACTAGATGATTATTTATTTGATCATTTTAATGTGGAAAGTCAACAAACCAAAACTACTTGCATCTATTTTTTTGTTTTGTTTTTATTCTGTTGAGCAACAACTGACAAACTATTAATTTCCAGCTCTGCTCATTTTTATTTTTGTAGAACTTCTCAATCACAAGTGAAAGTCAAAACCTAAACACAAAACAATCATAAAGTAAAAAACTAAAACAAATTGTCACCTTCCTAAAATAATGGCTCCCAAGGCCTTTTTTCCCAAAGGTGATTTTTGGAAAAAAAAAAAAAAAACACAAAATCCCTACCTCTTTTTTGCTGAAAGATTTGGTTTAAAAAAAAAAAGACCTAAACTATTATTTTAGGAAGGTGGTGAATTAAAGGTATATAAAATAAGATTAAGTTGCCAAGTAAGGAAATTAATAAGTTAGTAAAAATTTAATTAAAAGGTTAAAAGTTAATCAAACTAAACTAGGATATTTCAAAATATAAACCACAGGAAGGATGAAAAAAGGGAAGCTAAATTGCCAAAAGTATTGGTTCATTTCCCTTCACACGTCCCATTTGTACTCCATAAATTAACTCAATCCTTGCTGCTATAAATGCTTCAATTCTTGAAAGGTCACCTCAAGGTTAGGAGTGTGTTTTATGTGTATTTTTTTACTATTCTTCCAGAAAGGCTATGCTGCAGGAAAAGCAGGCAGCTTTCACAGAGTTGCGTTAAATTGATTATATGACCATATTAAGGGTAAGATGAGCAATAAAAAGGCTTGCGAGATGCAACTAAAAGACAAAGCTGCAAAAAATATAAGATTTCTGTTTTTTTAAGCATCCAACCAGTTATAATTTCTTGAAATTCTAATACTAGCGAAGTTGTTCTTTCTCAACTGCTTTTTATTCTTGATGTCCAATTCCTGTTTTCAGCATATTATATTTTACTCTATGTGCTTTGTGCCTGAATAGTTCACATATAATAATTTAAAGGCTGGATAAGCAAAAACTGAACAAAGTTTTAAAAAGTATAGTCTTTCTCATTAACTTTCTTTTTTCAATCAATCAATCAATCAATCAATCACTCAGTCAAGTTTATTTGTATAGCACATTTCAGCAACACGGAAATGCTTTATTTACATCGAGCAAACATAAAATCCCCATCATAAACACATCATAGTCAACAGTTGTGAAAACCAAAAACAGACACTACATTTTCGCTAATTCTAAATCCCTGCGCTGGCCAGGAACTTGTAAAACATGTTCTAAATTATTAATTTTATTTTATTAGAAAGTAACAAAAGAATCTTTAAACCTCCCCGTTACTTCGCCAATAAATTATGGCTCCGAGTGAATACCGTTAACCGTATTTTATTTTTACGAAAGACCACTAATGCAGCACCACCTTCTACTTCCATCCACTAGAGGGCGCTAGTAGTGTTACATTGACGAACATGCTTGTTTAGGGTCGCTTGTCAACTTTAGGCTGTAAAAAGACCAACACGTTAAATTTAATTATCAAAACGGACTTTATGTAGCTGTTGTTAACTATAAATCACACAAATATTATCTAATTTCAGTTATTTTAATGTGTGTTCGGCTGTAGCAGCATGCTAACCGTCTGTTTGCTGTTAGCTAGCTAGCTAGCTGCTAGCGACTACTGATACAGATGTTAGCCCCAGTTTGTGAGCTGAATAGAGAAATATCTTCTAAAAAGTGTGATAGTTTGACTCGAGAAACAAGTCTAAATGGATCTCAAGTTTTACTCTGAGCTGTCGGATGACTGTCCTGCAAATGTTGACACAGAGTTTATGGACACCCAGCCGTACGGCGGATACTCTGAGGAGAACAAGGTAACGTTACATCCGAGGATGCCTGGTTATAAACCTGTAGTTGGTTACATTTTATTTATTTATCTGTTGCAGTTTTCTGAAGGCAGCGACAGCTATCTAACCATTAGTGGAGCTGAGCATCATTTCCTATCAGCAGAGGTTAGCGAGTGACTTCATTGATGAACCATCTAATTTCTAGTCGTGTTTTTAACCCATCTCTCTCTCTCTCTCTCTCTCACTCACACACACACTCTCTCTCTCTTTCTCTCTCTCTCCCTCTCTCTCACTGTGTTTTTCCCACATGCAGCAGACATTCCACACTCCTAGTCTCGGGGATGAGGTGTTCGAGATCCCCCCGATATCCCTGGATCCAGACCAGGCTCTCGGCATCAGTGAGGCGGTGTCCCACTTTGACCTGACCGATGGCTCAGACGACACCAGCGGGTCTTCTGGCTCTAGGAGCCTGGTGAGCAACCTGGTGGTGGAGGCCAATGATCCGTCGTTCGCCTCCACCTTTGGGTCTCAAGGTCTGGAGAGGTTGAACCTCGGGGCAATGGGTCAAGCTGGAGGGGGAGCCCTGCTCAGCTCCTCTGCCCTGGTGAGTTCTGGGATCAGTCAGTCAATCAGTCAAATCTGAATGCTGTTTGAAACCTGGATTTCTTTTTTTTTCTTTTTTTCCTCTTCAGGAGATGGGGAACTCCAGCGGCTCACATTTCAGCCGCTCTCCTCCCATGACCATCGATGTTCAGCTGAGCGAATTAGGTCACGGTCTCCTGGAAGGCAGCCAGCTGACCGACATGAACCCATCAGAACTGACGCTGGGGCTCGGTGGAAGTAACCCGGGCCATCATCCGGATGCGCCAGAGGAGCCACTGCTGATATCCTCGTCTCCAGTCGGTTCCCTGCAGGACGAGGACATGGATGACTTCAAGGTAACGAGGATTATGCGCGGTGGATTGTAAACGCTGGCACGTTCCAGTCAAGCTTCATATTGTCTTCTTTTTTTTTTATTTATTTATTTATTTTATTATTCAGTTGATCAAATAATTTTATTCCTACTTCAAAGCACTGAAACAATTTCAACAACTTGACTGAAAAGGTACAAGTAGAAGCACAAGGCTTATATTTATGCCTGTCCTCATCAAATTAAACTAGAACACTCCTTATAAAAACCCAAAACAATCCCCTTCTTGTATGTAAAATCACTTAACAGAAACATAAAAGGAAAGAATTCTTTTTACTTTTTTTTTTTGACCCACCTTCTCTCTTCCTACAGAGAAGCGTGCTGGTGGACTCCCCGGTGTCCATATCCTCCTCCCCGGTCCTGTCCCACATGTCCTCTTACCCCGCGTCCCCGTCCTCTGCCTCCCCGGCAGCAGCAGCCACACGGGTCGGAGGGAAACCCGCCGCTTTGGCCTCGGCAGCCGAAGCGGCGGCGGGAGGAAAAAAAGGCAGGAAGAAGAAGGATCCCAACGAGCCGCAGAAGCCCGTCTCGGCGTACGCTCTGTTTTTCAGAGACACCCAGTCGGCCATTAAGGGCCAGAACCCCAACGCCTCCTTCGGGGAGGTGTCAAAGATCGTGGCGTCCATGTGGGACAGCCTGGCGGACGATCAGAAACAGGTAGAGCTGGTTGCCTTCTATTGATAAGTGGACGATTAACATCTAGAAACAGGAATAGGGCTTAGAAATAAAGTCAGATTTTTTTTTTTTTTTTACCATTTCCGTTTTTTTTTTTTTTTTTTTCCTTTGGCCCGCTTTCTTTTCTTAAAAATTAAACGATAGAAAATGTTTTAAAAAAGTGGCTTTCATGTTAGTTATCCCTTCTGAGTTGAACGACAGAGAATTAGAGCGAGGCTACGAGAACATAGTCATGTTGGCAAAAGAAAAATCGACTCAATTTTTACCAGAAAAAGCATCTTAAAATTGCAATATAGTTGTTTTTATTGAGAGTGAAGCTTATTTATCAGCATCTGATGAGGCCAGTCAGGTCCTGTAGTTCTTTCAAATAGACACAGTTGTCCTGCTGCTGATGCGTTGAGACTAAATATTGTCTGTAAAACATACTTTATTTTTTATGTTGGAGTTCTTATAGGATTCCAAATTTATTCTGGTAATATTACAACTTCATTCTCATAATTATAAAAAAAAATTTAGTCTGGCCTTAATATTCCATACAGTGGACCTGAACTCAAAGTCCAATTAAACAGAAGCTGTAAAACAAGATGGCCGCCCTGGTTGCGCCAACGTCTCTCTGATCTTTTGACACCCAGGAGAAAAGAAAAAAAAGAAACAAGATTTTCCAAGAATTAAATCTTCTAAAACCAAAACTTCAATTAATGGATTAGATCGATTTCTCGCTCGGCTCTAATCCAGAACGACGGTTTGTTGTTTCCTGCAGGTTTACAAAAAGAAAACGGACGCTGCC